ACAGCCCAATCCTTGATACGAGGCATCACTATACACCACAAACTCTCCCTGACTTGAAGGTAGTGCAAGTACTGGTGCTGTGGTCAATCTCTTTTTCAGTTCATCAAAACTCTTTTGACATGATTCATCCCAAACATACTTAGTATTCTTCCTCAACAGTTTAGTCAATGGTGCAGCAATTTTAGAAAATCCTTCGACAAACCGCCGATAATAACCAGCCATGCCAAGAAAACTTCTCAACTCCGACACATCTTTTGGTGGAGCCCAACTCACCACTGCTTCCACCTTTTTCGGATCCACCTCGACACCTCTTCCAGAAATTACATGTCCCAGAAATATTACCTCCTTCAGCCAAAACTCACATTTTGAAAATTTTGCATATAATTGTTTCTCCCTTACAATTTGCAACACAATTCTAAGGTGAGTTTTGTGCTCCTCCTCGCTTTTAGAATAGATGAGAATATCATCTATGAACACAATCACAAACTTATCAAGATATTCATGGAACACTCTGTTCATAAGAGCCATAAATACCGCTGGTGCATTAGTGAGTCCAAAAGGCATTACTAGGAACTCATAATGCCCATATCTTGTTCTAAAAGCTGTCTTTGAAGTTGCTCCATCTGCCACTTTCAATTGATGGTATCCAGACCTCAAATCAATCTTAGAAAAGACTGATGCACCCTGCAATTGATCAAACAAATCATCTATTCTTGGAAGGGGATAACGATTCTTCACTGTTGCCTTATTCAACCTCCGGTAGTCAATGCACATTCTCATGAAGCCATCTTTCTTCTTGACAAACAAAACCGGTGCACCCCAAGGTGAGATGCTAGGTCGAATAAACCCCTTATCTAACAATTCTTGCAATTGTTCTTTAAGCTCCTTCAGCTCAATTGGTGCCATTCTATATGGTGCCATTGAAATTGGTGTTGTGCCAGGTACCAATTCAATATCAAACTCTACTTCCCTTTCTGGTGGAAGGCCGGGAAGTTCTTCGGGGAATACATCAGGAAACTCCCTTACCACCTCTACATCCTCAACCTTCTTATCATTTACTACAGTAACTTGAGCAAGAAAGGCTTCACAACCTTCCTTCACTAATCGAAAAGCTTCCAAGGCAGAAAGAAAACCATGAGTCTCCTTTTTCTTAATGCCTCGAAATACAACAGGACCTTTATCTGGTGTGTTGAATAACACTTCTTTCTTTTGACAATCCACAACAGCTCCATGTGTTGCCAGAAAGTCCATTCCAAGGATGACATCAAATTCATCAAAAGATAGCAGAATTAAATCTGCTGCTAAGAAAGCTCCTTCCACACAAATGAAGGAACTTCTAATAACTGAGTCTACCTTCAAGGTATCTCCCACAGGTGTTTTAACACATAAGGTATAACCTAGCTTATCTGGAACTAAGCGTAGCATATGTGCAAACGTATATGACATGAATGAGTGAGAGGAACTAGTATCGATCAAAGCATATAATTGCTTGCCAAGGATAGAAAGCATACCAGTTACAACTTCTGGTGCCACTTCTGCCTCACCTCGAGTCATTGCATAAACCCTCGGTGCTCCTTGTGCTCTGGTACCCTGCGTACCACTTCCTGATGGCTGATTTCGACCACCACCTCTACCACTCTGTGAACCACCACGACCACTCTGAAATCCACTACGGCCTCCCTGGTAACCACCCCTGAATGGGGCTCTACTCATTTGCACTGAAGGCTTGGACTGTGTAGCTCTTACTTCTCTCGAATGCGGGCAATCCCTCATGATGTGCCCAGGTTGGCCACAGTGAAAGCATACACCAGAAAATCTCCTACACTCTCCAGGATGCCTCTTCTGACAAACTTGACAAAATGGAAATTGTGTGGCTGAGGAAATTGGTGCCCTGTATGATGTTCCTGACATAGATTGACTTGGTGTTCTCCCAAAACTGCTAGGACCTCTCCTGGGTGGGTAACGAGGTCCACCATAATTTACTCCAAACTTCCTCTTCTTCTCCTCTTCTTTGGCCTTGTGTTCCTCTCGGCTCTCAACTTCATAAGCTTCATACTTAAGTGCTGCCTCCTTGATTGTGGCCATACTCTCTTCATCAACCCTGTGGACCTTTTCTTTCAACCCTATGCGCAGACCATGCAAGTATCTCATCTTCTTCTTATGCTCAGTATCCGCCAACCCATCCTCAAAGTAAAGCAGTCGAACAAACTTGATGGTGTACTCAGTAACTGTCATATTCTCCTGCTTAAGGTTGGCAAATTCATTGTTCTTTGCCCTGATAAAAGCTTCAGGAAGAAACTCTGTCTTAAAGGCCTTCAGGAACTCCTCCCAGGTGAACTGAACTCGTTCACCATTAACTCTAGAGACTGAGGACCACCAGCTCCTCGCGTACCCCTTCAGGAGAAAAACAACATATTGTACTTTTTCCTCTGGGGTCGCATAAAGATATTCAAACACATCTTCCATCTCTCTAAACCACTCTACTACTGCATCTGGACTCACATCTCCTTTAAAGTCCCTACCACCCAAACTCTTCATCTTTGCATAATCTAATACTGGCGGTCTTGCATCAACCGCCCCCACCCCTCTCGATTGGTCAGTAGGAACATTTTCACAACTTCCGTGCGAGCTACAAGGAAATATTGGCCTTCGATTGATCCACAAAAAATTCATTCTTCACCAAATCTCTCACTTGGTTAAAACAAAAAATTTCCAAAATAATTACTTGAAAACAAATAAGTTCAAAACTCAATTTTGAAAACCATGATGCAGGTAATTTCATCCAATATACCAATACACATAATCATGTCAAACTCAATTCCCAGTTTAAGTCATTATGGGGTACTCCCCTCCTTAGGAGTGTTTAAACTCCCATAGGGTATAGTACGCCATAACAGCAAAAAGAGGGAACCGGGCTCTGATACCAAACTGTAACACCCTACCCTATACGTTTTGCCTAATCATATTGTTCATACAATTGCAGCGAAATTTATCTCGGGCGTTACATTAATTATCAAAATTTACCCAAATAAAATTTCGACATGAATTACTCGCGTAATGGGCTAACAGTTCTTGCAACTTATCCTGCAAAATAATTCATCACAAACATATATACTCACAACCATATGCATTGGCTTTTCATAGACATAGTCACAGTTTCATACTTCCTAACTGCATACCATACTTATACAAGCCATAATCGTCATAACTTACACAATTACAAAAATATACACATATCGTCAACTTTCCACACCTGTGGATATCTCACACTACACCAGAAGCTAGTATGCACATGAAAAACGTTCTCAAAACGTTTTTACAAAAAGGTGTGGATCACTGGCCAAAATCCCAAGTAGTAGTCCAAGCACAGAATAGTTGAAGACCATACCTCATCCTGGCTTCAACTCTAGCTCCTCTCCCACCTAAAACTTATCTACTGCTGCTGCTGATGATCTGCTTACACATAGCATAAGCAGAGAAGAAGAATAAAAGAGGGTCAGCTCATAGCTGAGCGAGATAATCATAGCATCGTGAGTTCATAACAGAGCATACCCCTACCATACATCTAGCAAACAAGCCAAAGCACTGGGATCATATCTCAGCTCTCCGACATCCCAATAGGCAAAAGACTCAACCACCTTGACTTATGCATATGCATCTTATCATGTTTTACTTATAGGCGCCTGGCTACTCCCATGCTAATAGCTCTCCCGGGAAACATACCCCACATCCCGTCGGATGTAGTCATACATACACCAACATCCCGTCGGATGTGGTCATACATACCCCACACCACTATGCGTGTAGTCATACCCCGACACCGCTCTGGGTGTGGTCATATCTCATAAGAATTCTTCAGTCACCACCACATGAGAGGTGTGACTATCATACATATCATAATAGAGTAATAGCATAGGGAGCCCTAATTACTATGTAGTTGACCGTGAGACCACAACACTCATATTTGGTATCCTTATACATTATTCATATCTCATCTTGCTTAATCATAATTCATTACTTACACATGAACTTGACCTGGCCATAATTGGCTCAACATAGGTAAATTAGGAGTCGTATAATTGCACTTCCTCGGGATAAACCCTCGTGCAAGTCATCCTCCTTAAAACATCATAATATCACCTTGGGAAGTTTATTCCCCCACTTATGGATCCAAATACAACCATAATATCACACCATGTCAAAACCCCTTATCGAACAACCATGAAGTCATATCAACAGTTAAGCCACAAATGGCAACATGTATGCAATCATCCACATAAACAAGGTTCATATCGATTAGGGCAAGTCAATAATATCAAACAGCAGTCCAAGGTTCATCATATAGCACAAAATCTCATACACCCCTAATCATGCCATTCTAGTTCACCTAGATCAATTCTAAGCATCAATATAATTATCGTGATACGACAAACCCGGTATGCCGTGCTAATCCCTCACCAGTTCTGGTCGTTCAAACACCGGTTTTAGCTTCCCGTACTAAAATGTCAATTTCACGAACGAACCCCGAATTAAAATCCGAGACCGTCCTAATATCCCCTGCAGTATCCCCGTCAATATTAGTTCTAGGCTCCGGGTCAAATTCTTGATAAAAACACATCAAACCCTGGCCGGAGCTAAATTCAGCGGTTCGGACCCCGGCCTAAATAATTGTCGAAATTCAGAGATTAGAACTAGAGGATTGATTACCTCGCTGCAGGAAGCTCGTATATAAAATTTAGGCTCAATCCGGCTTCCGGATACTCCGAAACCCTAATTTAGCTTATCGGGAATTCAAGAAATTCCTGAACCAAAAACTCGTTTTAAAGCTCTAAATCGATAAATCACGATGTATGGATGAATTAGGCATTACTTACGGGATTTTTGGATCAGTGTAGCTCAAGAATCGAGCTACAGAAATTTTCCCCCGCGATGCCCTGTGCGCCTCTGCTTCTCGTTACTCTCGTCCGAAAAGAAAGAAGATGAAGAAATGGATGGGAATTATATGCCGACTGCATTTATATATAAATATATATAATATTATATAATATATATAATTAATACGTATACTTATCCGATCGATCGATAATCCGATTTTCGTCGAAATAGTGTCGAAATGCTCGATTTTAAATCGTGAACTTTCTAGCGATCGAAATATGGGTTTTGCCAGAACGGGATGTTACAGGTTGACGCTTGACTGGAACGCCGCCGTTCGGCTTTTGGGCTCTTCCTACGCGTACACGGGTTTCGCCACGCTCGAGGTCTTCGCGTCCTCGCGCTGGCGCCGCTTCAGTCGCGCCGACCCTAATGGGCTTAGTCATAGCGCGCTTTAGATGCCTCAGTGCTTTCATGATGCGGTTAGGTCCGAGTCGCATGCCCAACAATACATATTTCCGAAAATCGCGAGGAGGCCTCCGAGGCTGACGTGGAGAGGGCTATTTTCTTAAACTGCTTTAATATATTTTATAGATAGATGGTCTATAATTCAATTCGAAAGAGATACAAAGAGAAGAGTATACATTGCTTCTAATACAACACTCTCAAACTGTCAAAGTAAAAATTGCAACGCTGAACATTAAAATAGCAAACCACAAAACCCTAACCAACAAAAGTTTGGCGGTTAACCATCCAGGAACCCATCAAAACCGAGAAATCGTCACTCTTCCCGCCGAACTCAATCGTCCTACTACTCGACATCCCCGCCGTCGGCATTCCGTACCCTTAACTCCCCACCTCTGGCGGAGTCGTTTCCACCTCTGAATCAGCTCCTCTGAAAGTCATCATTCGCAAGCTTCTCATTGGGGATAGAGTCAGAAGCTGTTGGAGGCCCGCTGCTCAGAGAGTGTCGTCAGATTATCGCTACCCTAGACATATGCTTAGAGGTTTGTGCGGTTCCTATAACTGCCAATCGAGTTGCCTATAGTGTGGCAAGAAAAGCCCTTTTTCTGTTTAGTTTAGAGTTGCTTTCATTTTATTTTGTTTTTATTGTCATATCTCATAATAATAATAAAAAGTCAAAGCCCATGAACAAATTGAGAAATCAACAATATTAGTAAACTAAAGAACGTATAGATATTTACGTGAATTACTTGTATAATAGAGAGAAAAACGCCGACGGAAGAGAGCTAGATCGAGTATTTTTAAGGGTGTGGACTAGACTTGGGAAGTCAGTTGTTATTGGGTTGTGGGAGATTCAGAAAGGGCCTGGAAACAAGTGTCATATGACTGTTATGTGGTTCTCCAACAAATAAATAATTTGTTACCTAAAACCTAATGGTCATTCCTAGTTGAATGTTATAATGTTCTAAGAAGAGTAAGAACTCCTTCCATACTTTTTAACCTAGCCTAGCCGTCAACCGTCATACGAAAACCGTAAAATAAACGTATTTGCTGTATTAATTGTAATTAGCTGCCGATACCAGGTTGAGTACTAATTGTAATTATTGCCAAATGCACAAAACTTGGTAGTTCATTCAACCTCGCTATCTAGACACAACGTAGAAGCAAGAGATTAAGCAAACAGACGAGAGTCGCCAACAATTTTCCCACAAGAAAGAAAGAAAGAGAAAGGTACTGATCTCAGCCAATATTCTTAAACATAATATTAGATAGCTAACGACATTACTCCACAATCATATAAATATACTAGGTCGATCGAGTTCAAAAGTAGAAGGTAGCTACTTCACTTGTCGCAGGGCAGTAAACACAAGAAGTCCGCATCATGCTGGTGAGGATAAAGCTATACCATGCCAGCTAGCTAGCGGCAGTGCCTAGCAATTAAGCGGGGCGCTTATAACAAAGTTGGCCCGCAGGTATGGAAGCAAACTCCCCCATCCCATTGCTCACCACTTCAATCACTCCATTCCTGAGAACCAGAGGATCAATCAACAGCTCTTTGACGCTCTGTTCGGGCATTTGGAGCGAGAGCCCAGTACGCGCGCTAACCCGCAGCAGGTGTGTAATTCTCTCCAGAGAAACCACCTCCTGGCTGTCTATGATCCCCAAACAATGCTTCCTCCAAAACTCGAAGAACGGATTGAATTCCTCTTCAGCAAAATAAGCATTCATGTACTGTGTATCCCCCCGTGGCTCGTAGTCAGGGCTGTTCACCTCTACGATTTCCTCGATTTCCAGAAGCCTCTTAATGCACCTCCCGACCTCCATAGCTGGGAGGCCCGATGCTTCCTGGAGGTCTTCCGCCGTCCAACTTTTATATCTGACATCCATCACATTGTGGATCTGCATTACGTGTTCCCACATGGGGCCTTCGGGGCCCCACCTCCGAGGCTTTTCTTCTTGAGATCCAACCTCCATGGTGGTAGCAGCAGGTACCTGCTGAAATCAATTAAACATCCATCTGTTTTTAACAAGCAGTTGATAGTAAGACTGGTTGTCTTTCTAAAGAGCAGTGAGAAGGCAACAACAGCGCAGTCAGGTAAGCATGTATCTAGCTGCCAGGTTGAACCTAGAAATCAATCAAAATGAAGACGCCAACAAGAACCCAATACGGATTAGGCAAAACCAGACCAGCATCTGCTCTCGCCGCGGCAGATAGATCACAAATCATCAAGCAGGTGGTATGCATCAGAGATCGGAAGCAGTTATTAGAGACAGAAACAGTTTACAAGTCCAAGCAATCGACGATGATTGCAATTTCAAACGCAGGGAATTAAACACCTACGATTACTGAGAAACCCTAAACAACCAACAGTGACAGAAACAGTTTGCAAGTCCAATCAAGCGGCCAACAAACTTTCAAATCATCAGGGAATCAAACACCTACGATCTCTGAAAGAAACCCTAAACAGCCGACATTCATCCATTCGATTCTCCCTCGCTCTCTAATCAATTAGCACGCTGAAATAAATCAAAGAAACCATTGAGGAAGACCTACCGGTGGCATTGGCAAGCAAGATCCCTAATTGGTTGGTCGACTCTCGCCAAAGAACCTCTTATCGCGATCAAGGGGGAAAACAGTACAATATAGGTTGGTTCTTTTTTCTTTCAGAAATCAGAACCAGAAGAATCTATTTATAAGGAGTTGCTGCCGCTTTTCTATCGGACTCGGTCCGGGCCGGCCCTAGGGCGGACTCCCTCCCTCCCTTTTATTAGGCCCAATACATTTTTTGGCCGAACGGAGGTTCTTCCTACCAAGATCCGGCCCATATGACAACATCTTTTGATTTTTTTTTCCGGTTAAATTACACGTTAGGTCACTCAAATTATATAAATTTTTAACGTTTGTCACTCGAATTACTTTTCTTTCATATTCACCACCAACTTTATGATTCATTTCACCGGTCGTCAAACTCCGTCAGTTTTTTATGACGCGGCAAACAGGACAGCTGACTGGACCGTTAAATTATGACGTGACATCCAAGAGAGGGAACAGGTCCCAGGAAGAAAAGAACTGACCTGGGAAATTGATGCACCGCTGCTTCTCGGTGTGGTAGCACTTCCGTATCTTCTCGATCTTGTGCCGGCACTGGACGGTGGATTTGGGAGGGTCGGAAGGGGCTGGGGAGTCGGCCAACGCGATGGTGGCGGTGTCCCATTTGGCAGCCAAAAGATTGCCACGGTTGATGGCGAACCACTTGTCGTGGTAGGCCTTGATGAGCTCGACGGTCTCCTCCCAAGGCCCACGAACCAGGAAACGCCTTTGTATCAGTTCCCTTCCGCCATTTCTTCGTCCGCAGCAGCTCTTCCCTTTAAGTTGTCATCGTTCCCCTGCCTTGTGTTCGTGGAACTTGTTCGATCTTCACATGTCACGGAGTTTTGTTACCGTTGTAGTCCTGCCATCTTCATAAAGATCACAAAGCCGCCAATGAAAGAAGAGCAAGTTTTGTGTATTGATGGAGAAATGTATTTTCTTTCCCTAGGCTTTGTTAGGAACTTATGATTCTTCTAAAGGTGCGAGGCAGTCACTATCAAGGAAGCGATCGTCCCCTCCGCGTTCATAATTGGCCAGCTTTGCGTCCTCACCATTCTAACTTTCAAGCTGGGCATGCCCATCGTTCATGCTCCAGCTTGAGGGGGAGAATAGGGAGTCAACATACGTTGGTCGACTAGCTCAGTCATAAAGTCGATCGCGATGTATCAAGTGAGTTTAAGATATGTAGTCAACCGTCCCCATCAGGTCGTTCAAGAGACGCAATCAACCGTCTTCGTCACGAAGTTCAAGAAGACGTAGTCAACCGTCTCCGTCAGATCGTTCAAGAGACGCAATCAACCGTCTTCGTCACGAAGTTCAAGAAGACGCAGTCAACCGTCTCCATCATCAGGTTGTTCAAAGAGAGAGTCAGTCATCTCCAATCAACCTCGTCTGAGATGTTATTCATCTCGAGTTTTGTTGTTCAAGCTTGTCATGCTTGTTTGTCACATTTCCTTTTTCAAGTTTGACATTCTTGTCATTCATGTCTTCGCTTGAGGCGGAGAGTTGAGGATATTAATTACTTAGTCAAAAGTAATTAATTCCTTGTCATCCAAGTCCCTTGTTTCCTAGTTCTTGTCAAAGAAGGAAACTTGGTTGTTATTAGGGTTTTAACCCTACGTCTATATAAGCTTAGATACAGAGATTGTCGTAAGCAAGACGTCACGTCACAATGTAGTCGTTCAATAAAACGTTAGTCGTGAGCTCTTTCTAGCTCACCGTGGATTAGCCTTGATTAATCAATTGATCGACAATACCACGTAAAATCTCGTGCCTCGTGTTCAATTTCAATTCTTCATCATCCAATTCTTCAAACTATAATTCGATTCGAAATCGATTGTAATGAAATGAGTATTCATAGCTTCCAGACAACACTCTTAAATCGTCAAGTACTAAAGATTGCAACGCATAACATTAAAACACAAACCACAAAATCCAAATCCACAAAAGCTTGGCTGTTACCTCAATCCAAACCCATCAAAACCGAGAAATCGTCACTCCTCTCGCCGAACTCAATCGTGTGACTACTCGCCACCCCGCCGCCGTAGACGTACCGTACCCTTCACTCCCCACCTCCGACGGCGTCGTTTCCACCTCTGCAACAACACCTCCCACCCGCTGCTTACTAGACCCAGTTCCCACCACCCGACCCAACTCCCACCCATTGGTCCCGACCAGAGGCGGGAAATTCAGCTTCGCCTTGGCGTTGTGGATCCGGTTTATCGCCCGGTCGTACGCCAACGCCGCTCCCTTGGGGGCGTCGTAGGTCCCAAGCCACCAATGTCCAAATTAAGTCGATGGAATGTACCGACTAGTTTTTCCTGGTGAATAGTTTGGTTATTTAAAATGACAGAAAAAGGAAATAAATACAAAGTATAGAATATGTTGTAGAAATCTCAGATACAAACAAAAGAAACAGGCAAGCAACATATGCATGGAAACACCAACATATAACAACTTCTTTCGATGAAATCCTGTCAAATCACTATGCTACACTAAACACACAAATGACTTACATCTCTGTACTTTCTATCTCTTCAATCTGTATAAGTCAATCGTTATGTAACCTCTCCATTCTCACGATTTTTATCCTTCTCGACAACAAACACATTGATTGTTCCTCTCTTACTCCTTCTTCATGGCAGCTACATGGCATTTTGCATCAGTGCACATTAATCCAAACAATCATTCATTGTTGCAACTTATGGCTTGAGGTAATATCACTTCAGTCACAATACGAATTTACATGAAATGAAATAAATGATCAGTATAGCTTGTAAAATTTAGAGTACTAATGTCGATTCTCTTTTCTCCTCGGTGGCCGCTTCGTCAATAAAATGATATTGGCGGCTATCTCTACCAACGCGTTCTATATGATCATAGTATAGTCTTTTGTATAAAGCGTTTCTTCCTTACCAATTTTTGCATTGCAACTCCAGGAGCTAACTTATTGGGGCTCTCCTCTAGGTAAACATCTTGTATTAACATCAGTAAGACAACAAAAATGATTTGGTCGAGATACTATCAAAATCTTGCATATAAAATCTGTGTGAGAGTGGTATATGATTGAAGCTATTCCCTATGTTAACACTAAGCAAAATAATCTTCGTTTACTGGAAGCTAACAATAAAAACATTCAAATTAGAAAAATGATGATACTGAAAAGGAGTATCAACACAAAAGCAACAAAAAGTATAGCTATGTATCTTTAATCAACTCAAAAGACAACCTAGAAGATCAACCAAATGAACTGATGGTTAAGAGATCACACATTATTGTCAAAGAAACTAAATAACCCACCAATCAGCTCTCCAAGCAGAACAATCAACCTTCCATATTTACCCCTTCGAAAATTGCTTTGGCGTAACAATATAGGATGAGGAGGTTAGGCGGTTATCGAGTCTGATGGGAAGGTTAGGAGAGACGGTGTTGGTTGAGTGTTTAGTGGGCCGGACACTATTTAGATCTGTTTACATTAGTTGCATCTTTTACATCCACGTTCGACAAACCAACACCACTAAACCTTTCCATATTTACCCCTCTCTTAAAGAATGTGCCTCATATTCACTCAAAATTTCTATGTTAAAAAATGTTGTTGTTTATGGTAGTTATAAAATTTAAGTCCATATTAAGAATTCTGCATCGCTTCTACACATTGAATACTGCAATTGGATATGCAATATTTGCACCAATGACAACAGGGTTGCGATTTTAAAATTATTCTCCTTTTATAAGACAAACAAAAATATAATTAATTATTAAACTTAAATTAAACTAATCAAAATATGAAAATAGAAGTATCAAATACCAAGAAAATATTTACGGGAGAGTACGTAAGTGAGTTAGCTAACCATGGTGGAAAATTCCTATGATTTTTCAAATTTAAGCTTCATGTAAGTTTTTAGTTTAAAAATATTAATTTTTTTTAGTGTAACTGGTTATTTTTCTTGTCTTTTTTCAAAGAGATCACAGTTTAAATCTCATCAATGATGTATTTTTTCTTGTAAATAAGAAAAATAATACATGAATATGAAGACGAATCTTCTCTTCCAACTTTCGTTATGGATGCAAGGATGTTGTAATGGGGAAAACTCCTTTTCCATTTCACTATTATATTAGGTGTAGCGAAAGTAAGTGCGGTGGTTGAGCGTTTAGTGGGATTGAGCCCGTTTACATAATAGCGCCTTGACCATCCGCATTCGTCAAACCAATAACACTCAATCTTTCCATATTTACCCCTCCAAAAAATTGCTCTGACGTAACAATAGAGCTGGAGGAGGTTAGCCGGTTGCTCAGTCTGATGGAAAGTTTGGATAGACGGCGATGGTTGAGCGATTAGTGGGTCGGGGTGCTATTCGGGCCCGTTTACATGAGTAGTGCTTTTTCCATCCGTGTTCGGCAAACCAAATCACTCAACATTTCCATATTTATCCCTCTCTTAAGGACACATGTGCCACATATTAACTCAAAACTTCTGTGTTCAAAAAACAAAATATCATTGATTTATGGTAGTTATAAAAATTAAGTCTATGTTAATCATTTTACATCGTTTCTGCATAGTCAAGAGTGCAATTCGATATGACATATTTAAACCAATGACATTTGAGTTGCTAAAATTATCCTCTTTTTATAAGATAAATAGAAATTAAAGTAATTATTAAACTCAAATTAAAAAATAAAATATGAAATTAGAAGTATCAAATACCAAAAAAGTATTTACAGGAAAGTTAGTGGATTAGCTAACCGTGGTGAAAAAGTCATATGATTTTTCATATTTAACCTTCATGTATGTTTTTAATTTAAAAAGATCAAACAAATTTTTTTTAGTGTAATTGGTCATGTTTCTTCTCTTTGTTTGAAAAGATCATAGTTCGAATCTCATTCTTGATACATTTTTTCATGTAAATAAAAATAATAATTAAAAACAATAAATGACTGTGAAGACAAAGTTAGCCTTCTTCCTACTTTCACTCAAGATATGAAGGAAATTTTAAATGGGGTCCAAGTTTCCCCATTTCACTTTTATTTATTGTGTAGATTAGTCATGTCGCACAACATATGCTAATCTTTTTTCCTTATTACTTATCCGCTATATTTTGTTCTTGCAATAGTTTTTGGAGAGTAATTAATGTCTTATAAGAGGAGAACATAATCAATCATAATATAAGCAAATAAAAACAAACTTTCTTTGGTTCGAAGTAGGGATGACAACTTCAATCCATCATGTAGGGTATTATTCGACCTAACATGTGATGAGACGAGTATTACCCGATCCGCACTAGAGTGTGATATGACATGTGAGGCTACTACTGGCCTCCCCCATCCCGTTCTTGATCTATCATATCTCATTTTTCCCCAATATTTTTTCATATTTTGACTTTTTTTCAATCATATTTCCTTCAAACGAAACTTTAAGTAGGTACAATATTTGATCTTTAAGTTAGCCATTCTATTATAACTATTTTTTTCCAGAAAATACTTGTAAAACACGGAAGAATAAAGAACTCGAGAGTTTTAACGTGGTTTCCCCAAGTACCGGGACTACTCCACGGAGAGCGGCGCTCTCAAGCAAAGTTTCACTAATCCGTCAAGTCTTACAGGGAGAAGCCGAAATCCCCATCACGTAAGTACAGGAGAGTTTCGGCTAACCTACTTAGGCCTTTCCACAAGCAGCTAGGTTAAGTGGTAAATAACAAAAGCGGTCCTCCATATAAAATCGAATACAAATCAGCACAACTCCGCCCAAAAATTTATAATGTGCTTTCTCTTTGTTTTATAGTAATTAATAGTTAAAAGTTTACGGGGCAGGTATGGGCAGTCAGTGAGCTCAGCTCCCCGACTCAGAATTCCCCTAGGGAGGCACCTCCTAGATCTAGCGTGGGGTTTACGTCTCTCATTTTTCCATCACCATTTAACATTATGGAAATGATGACTAGTTAGTTATTGACTACAGTCGAGAGTTTGTATCCGGATAAGTACACATGACAACTTACAAAAGGAGCCGCTGTACAAGTTCGTCACCATATTCCAAATTAGGATCACTGGGCTGGGAAACCATCAAAACAGGTCCTGCTGCTTCATCTTCTATTGTTGTTCCTGTTGTTTCATCTTCTGCTTCAGCCTCCGCCGCGGATATTAACGACGCTAACTGAATCTTCCCCGCGTACTCTAGCCGCATCAAAATCACTCCCCTAAAAAAACAAACACACATCATTTGAGTGAATTCGACACACAAACCACTTGCCATAAACTCACAACAACATTGCTAGGCAGAGACTAGTATAGTCTAGGTCCACTCGTATCACATAATTTACCTTGCATAGCGTGACTGGATTGAAATATCACGAACTTTGATTCTATTGACGGTGCCACTTTGACTTACTAGAACTACTTGTTCATCACTCTCAAAGTCCTCTGTACCCATAGAATAGGAAAAAGAAGAAGAGGCAAAGACTCAGAATACTGTTCAGATGGGTTACCATAGACATACAAAGCATAAGATAAGAGCATGCTTTCCATGAGCATTGACCTCTGAATCAACTGCATACCTGTTAGTGAGAAACCAACCACAAAGACTGCTGCCAAATGCCACTCTTCCTCTGAAAACTGACATGAGTTCAGGGCATCATGAGTTGTGTTTTCGGAACAAAACCAACAATTTCAGATGAATATTGCCAGTAAATATGTGCTTAGGGATTGAACTGCTGTAAGAGCCAGACAACAACCTAAGGACTAAGCAGAAACAAGTAATCACAAAGTAAAGTCAATGAGTCACCATAACAACAACTTGAGATTTACTGAACGCATGATGAGAGTATCTAGTTGTTGAGTGCAGTAAATGGGTCGATTAAACATGAGAAACAGAAGACATATCCTTACAAAGAATTATGTGAATAATATAGAACATACATTAGGCCAGCAGAACTTATAAGACTCCCTCTTTTAGCCAGAGACTAAAACTCAATGCAACAAGCAATGTTTAACTATATGTACCAAACATTCACATTAGCGAACTCAACTGAAGATATTCATATAAAGCATGATAAACACCATGGAGTGATTACCTCAAATAAAGAATGTGGTCATGTGATCGACAGACCATAAAATCTGACATTGCATTATTGACTCTCAATTTTCCGACAGATTTGCCAATGGTTCCACGTTTCTGCAGATTAAAGGTGTTGGGCTTCATCCGATTAACATAACCCTTTTCGCTAATAGCCTGAAAGTCACAAACAAGGATACTTAAGAATAAAGTCATTTCTGCTGGAACCCAATCAAAACAACACACACACACACGCATCATGCAGTAAATCCAAGTACAAGTTCTACTATTAAAAAAAGTACAAGTTCTATTATTGATGTCTAAAATGAGTTCATTCAAAAGAGAGTAAGAAATCAAGAAAATGAAGGATTCATAATGTCACAAACCAACAGAATTTCTTCATTTGGAATAGCATTTATATCTTCAAGCTGACCGTCATCCGAATATTCCAAAATAGAGCGCCTTGGGTTTGAAAATTTGTGCTTGAGCTCAACAGCTTCTTGTTCTATCAGCTGGCGCATAGAACACAGAGGGTTTATAGGAGGTTCAATAATACTTCTTTACCAGAGAAACTAATAATGGGCAGAATAAAAGCTGGAAAAATTGGAGTATGACCTGTAGCATCTTCCCCTTGCTTGCTAGTAGTTCTTCTAATTTTGAGATTTGTTCTGTTAGAGATTTCTTTTCATCTACATATTTACTTCTCTGCACAAAAAGGTGTAATTTGCCTTCAGATGATCACTAAAATATCTTATTTTAAGACAAATATAACTATACAAACAAAGCATCATTTATCCACCTCCATATGGATGAGCCTTCGGAGGCTTATATCTAATATAGCTTCTGCTTGCTTACTTGAAATATTGAATTCTGTAGGAGAAGAAAACAAATAAATAAAAAAAGAAAGAAAAGATCAATTACCCATACTTCTTGGTAAAGATTTAACATGGTCAAGTAAGTAATGCAAGTGGTACCACATCAAATGACATAACCTCATGAACAAACAGAAGAGATTTATGACAACATACAATTTCATTCTGAGAACAACATCATGCCGTCTGAAGTATACATATATCGACACCTTCAGTCATTTAAAACATACATATAAGCTATACCGATATATCAGGTCAGTTCAGTCAGCACAACCCTTCAACTTATCCAAGCTGTAGATGATATTATACCGTCTAATTTGAAGTCAAAATAACTAGTCTTCACTGTAGCACGAAACTAAAGTTCACCAGTAATCAAAGAAAGGGTAAATGAAAAAGAAGATCCTGGAATAAAACAATGTGCAAAAACTTGGGACAGTCAAAGGCTCCAGAAAACATTTCACGAACCATAATCCAGTTTAAATAATATGCTTAAACCTTTTCTCCTCCTCTTTACCCAATAAGTCCCCAACAGTAAGAAGAAAAAAGCTCCAAAGTCCTAACCAAGAAGGACAGCAAACAATCATATGACAACTGAATCAAAACTCACAGACAAGTTGTCACTTCTGTTTATATAAAAACATAACACAAATGGAACTTAAAATATAACTCAGTAAAATTCAGAAACTCAATGACTGGAAGTTTAAGGCAGCAGTAGGAATAAAAGTCAAATAAGTTCCTGATCTTAAAACAAAACATAGCATACCATTCATTAGACTAGTCGATGCAGCTGCATTGCTGGAAGCTTCCTTAATGATTTGAATAATGTGATCCAAATTATCAAGGCCCACCACGATACCCTGAGAAGAAACGACACTATTAAGTCCATCAACCCCTAGAAGCGTATAAGTGAAGAGCGGAATAATGCAAGTGAATCAATTGAATATCTTTCCTGAAAATCACTCTTCCACATAAAGAAACTAGATCAAACACAAGCACAGGTAGACATCTTGAGTTGGCTAATAAAGAAGCACTTAGTAGTATATTCCATGACATACCATGGTTTAACTAACAAGGCAATCACCTAGCATACCTCAACAATGTGTCTCTTCTCTTGAGCTTGTGAAAGTTTGAACCGCGCACGTCGCTCAACAACAGAGCATCTAACGTCTAAAAATGTCTGGCAAGGGCAAAACAAGATTAGGTTTACACCCACAATATTTTCTGAAACTGGTAATGCATAAAACATGCGTGAGAAGAGCATCGACTTCTCCAATGAAACTATGCGCGAGAAATCACCTGAAGCAATTCTTTCAGTCCCATCAGTTTAGGTTGTCCATCCAGAATACTGTGCCAGAACACCAATCATGAGTATATTAAGCAGCTTGTTAGACAAAAAAAAATGTACACCCACAAAAAAACATGCTGGAGCGACCACCCATTTAAATCAACTAAAATTAAACTCACCATGCTCTTCCATATATTAAAACATGCTCAAACTCATTACTCTCTCTCCTCCATAAACGAAGGGTGACCTAAGAGAGATTGAGAAGTTCAAAAGTATTAAAGCAGATTTTTATATCCAGTTCCATGACCTGACAACCCCTTTGCAAGAAAAAAATGCACTAGTTCCAAACTAAGTTAGGGTCAACCCATATAATACATTTCACTATGCAGAACACGTGAAATGGTCATTAGCTAATGACATTGCATAAAAAGAATGACGTCCAGTCTCAACTCTCAAACAATCCTTTACGCACTTAATGGGTTTAACCAGTTGAAGTTAAAAGGCAAACAGAATAAGAACCACCAGATTTCATGTGAACCACTTTAAGACAATGAAACTACTCACCCAACCATGTTGCGGGTAAAACTAGATTGAAGTTGAGTTAGACGATAAAGTTTATTCAAAACAAGCGCTGGTTTTGCTCCACGTTTCAGCTGCAAATTGAAGTGAAGCACTTTTTTCCTTAAAGTACACTCTTAGCAAATATTTATTATACCTCGATCACAATACGCATACCAGTACGATCACTTTCATCACGGATATCAGTTACGCCATCTATACTCTGTAAATTCAAATGACAAAGGAATACATCAGTTTCTAGCCTCACAAATCAGAAGTTTATCAAAGGTCAGGCTATAATAACAAGAGCTTAAGATCTCTTTCAGATTACCCTTCTTGGCATCTCTCTTTCCCTCACGGCACACAGATGACGATGTATAAAGCATGTTAACAAACTCTTAACTTTCTGGTGTATTGTGGAACAGAGCGGGCAGACACAATAATAAAAATAAAATATATCAGTACCCACACATTTTATACTACTCATTCCTCAACGAAACTAAACATGATTACCTACACTATGCTTAGAAGATACCACATTAGGAATAAAAATCCCATGCATACTATAGTAAGAAATTCTAGGGGGATCTCTCTAGCAGCAAAAGAAGAAGAAGCAAGGGTAATGATTTGAGTCAATGCTTGAAAGCACAAAGTCAGAATTACACTTCCTCATACCCTAGATTTCCCATAATTAGACCTCCAGTAGGCAAAATCAGGCCCTGGCATGTACTCCAAGAGTTCTTGCAACTGTCAAAGGAACAGAGATGGTAAGCTGAATGAACAGGAAGGAACTATTATATGCTGAAGTTGGAAATAGAATAGCAACAATTTAGTGGGCACCTTTCTGTACAAACAATATATTATCCTCTACGATCAGACTAAACAATTTAGATAACCAGCATCTACAATCAGACTAAACAACTAGAAAGCATCAAGCTCATGATAATCAATTTTCCAAATAAGCAACCAAATTGACACAATCCTTACATATTCTCAGCACTCTTAAGAGGAAGGGATCACTTTCTTATCTCCCCGCTATATCAACGTACACAAAACTGAACAATGAAACATCATCTCAAAATTTGCCCACCATCTCCTCTCAGTTATGAGGATCGCTGGCTGTTTAAATCCAGAAACTTGTTCAATAAGTACACAAGACATAACCAAGGCTCCCATCTCCTGATACAAAGAAGAATTTTACCAAAACAACCTTCCAGGAAGATGCCCTTCCCTAGAAAAGGAACTTTCCGCCTAGACCCCATACACTCACATCACAAGAGAGTAGAAGCACAACAACTCAAAGTTTAGTCGTTATCCATCAACAAAATGCATCTCCACTCAGAAATATAACCAAGAATTTTTCAGGTTCACATCAGCAGATTCAGCATGACAAAGGACATTCCATAATGATCCACTGAATCTGTACTAGGAAGTACGTTGATTCTTTCGGTCTCCTTTAATTAGTAAAGTGGGAGGTGAGATAAAGGTTTATTGGAACTCGACACATTATGGCTAGTCCAATGCTTCCTGTAGGAATGGATATTTCCGAAAAAATAATGCATCTAACTCGTACTTACAGTGGCTTCTGGGTTGTGAATTAAAGTGCATAGGACATTGACCAGCTCTCCGAGGTTATGGGGAGGAATATTGGTTGCCATGCCAACCTAGCAAATGTGAAAAGCTACTATCAATAACAAGTAGATGCCTCTGAATAACCACTGCGCTAGAAACAGAAATATAGCTAAGTTACCGTAATCCAGAAGAGCCATTCAATAACAAAGTTGGAAGACGAGCAGGAAAAAGTGAGGGTTCTTTTTGGGAATTATCAAAATTGGGCACAAAATTAACCTGCTAATTTGTTAAAGAAAAAGGAGCACGTCAACAATTTTCTGAGCACCTAAGAATAAGACAAGCTCTTACCGTATCTTGTTCCAGATCAGCCAGCAAAACTGCCTCTGCTAATGCCTACAATGGAATATGCAGAACTTACAACCATATGGCATAAAATAATGCTTCTAATAGTTGAAAGAATTAGTTATTTCAGAAATTTCAGAAATTCTGGAATTGCGAGTGAGCAAGGTCCACAAATTGATTTCAACTTGTGATAGCACTATAGAAAGATAGTCATAGAAAATAATTGTGCCAGCTGCTAACATAGTTGAATCTAACAAATACGGTTGGACACAAATCTACCGATAAGGAAAGTAAGGACATACTTGCAGCCTTCATTCTGTATAACGCATAGCAGCAGCTGGATCAGCATCTATGGAATCGAAATTGGCATGGCCTTGGATAAGTGGACACCTTAAAGAAAAATCCTGGATCAAGTGGAAGAGGATTTCCAAGTGAACGTATAAGCAATAAAACTCACAGCAATCACTCACTTGAAAAATGGATGTAAAGCATTACAGGCGAAACTTAAGGAATGAATGAAAACACAATGAGGGTTCTCTCAGTTGACACATACTATTTGGTAAACATTCTGTGAGATATCAAAGCCATGACTAGATTATATCACTCTTTGGTCAGGAACTGCTTTTGCATAAGCTCGCCAAGAGGAACAAATTATACGACTAAATCTAGTTTTGGGGCTTTCAGTCACAGTTCATTGTCCGAAGAGCATCACATAATAGAACTTGTAAATAGAATAGCATTGTAAAACGGATTGGCACTGGGGTTATCATACCCCACTCAAATTTCAACCTATCGAAGAGGCAGCAAAGAACTAAAGGGCCTTGAAACAAAAACATTCGCCCTGCCGACACTTCAACATGAAAAGCAAAAAATGGCCTATGCAGATGGTCTTGTATCATATACAACAAACACATCATATTAGATAATCTAACGAGTGAAGCCACCTATGCAAAGGATAACAGGGGAAATAACGATTGAAAACCTCTTGGAGTTGTAACATTATAACCTTCCCTTCCATAATCACTGTGATCCAGTTCGATTGAAGTAAACGGCAGATTCGAACTCTGGAAATCATGCAGATTGGTTAGAAAAAGTATGATCTTCAAAGGGGAACTCAATGTCGATAGTGAACTTACATGAAGGCAGAAGCTGCAGAGGCCTTGTATCTTGTGTTGATCCTAAAATGCAGAGCAGATAGAAAAATCCTCTTCGTCAAAACATTATGCAAATCAATTTCACCGGCGGTGGCTAAAATGTCAGATCCAAAGTGCACGGATTCAGATAGCAAAAGTGGAGATTCTTCACAAGCGGACAAAAGTGTTAGATCCATACCTTGCAGAACAGATTAATTGAGAAATTATGTAGCAAGTCATGTTGAAATATTTGAGAAGGCTGCAAATATGCCTTGCTACCAGGCAGGGACCAGTTAGGCATCACAGGAGGCCGAGATGAATGTCTCTCTTTTGCTTGCCTCGACACTCTCATTCATTATGTATTTCATATCAGTAAATGGACTGGTTTGGTGAATTTATGCTTGATTGCGACTTTTATTTCCAGAAGTTTGAATTTTACTAGAGGTTTCTGGATAATTGAGAGGTATAGCTAGAAGGTAAACTTCAGTGTCTTTTCGGTTGGAAACGAAGACCCACAGTTGGGAGATAGCCTATCATAAATAGGCAGTTACAAGTTCAAATCATAGCCTATCATAAAGACAGAGTTACAAGTTCATATCATAACAGCCATCATCACTTGGGTCATAGTAGAAGAGACAAAACAGTTACAAGATAGTGTATGCCCTAAACACAAGTCCAAAATAGCTGCAACAAGTGGAAACTATCTAAGCGAAAACAACACGTAAACCTGGGACCCTCCTAAGAAAACTCCTGCAGCAGAAGAACGAAGACCACAAAATCGGATCATGCCCGCCTAGCTCGTCGTTACAAGTTCATATCATAACCACCATCATCACTTGGGTCATAGTAGAAGAGACAAAACAGTTACAGGATAGTGTATGCCCTAAACACAAGTCCAAAATAGCTGCAACAAGTGGAAACTATCTAAGCGAAAACACCACGTAAACCTGGGACCCTCCTAACAAAACTCCTGCCGCAGAAGAACGAAGACCACAAAATCGGATCATGCCCCCCTAGCTCGTTGTTGTTCGAGCAACAAATCAGGAGCTGTTGGGCTTCGAAATAGAAAGTGAACCGTTTTCCCCCCGTTTGAAAGAGAATCAAGCCGTCGATTGGAATGCCGAGCGGCACGAATGGGCCGTTGATGATGTTAGGGTGTTGAATCGAGCACCTTGGCTGCCATAGCGTGCCATTGAATAGAAATAACTTGATATTGGAAGCATCTCTGGCACAAAGGCACAATTGGGATCGAAGAAGTCCCAAATTCAGCTCAAAGCCGCGTTGCAGCTGTTCTGGCAAAGTCCAGCAACTGAGAACGTGGTTGCCAAGGGAGAACGCGACGATGAAACCCGACAGGTGATCAGCTCCCCTCAACCCAGGGGCATGATACTCCGAAATCCAGAGTAAGGAACCATTATACTCAGTAGCAAGTCTCTGGTTACAGAGCAAGGGGTCAAACAAAGACCAAGGAGCAGATTGCACAACCCCGGACGCGATTGAATAGACCTCCACAACCTGATAATTGCTGTTCAAGTACTCCAAAACCCTCATAAACTTGAATTGGTGGGAGTTTAGGTCGAAGCCAAATCCTGAGGCCCTAACTGATACGCTAATATCGGGTTCCCAGAGCAAACCTAGGCCGGCATTCCTCAGATTCAATAGTAGCATCCTAGAACGGAGCTGGAGATGATTTACCTGGCGAAACCAACGGAAGTATGGGTTGTACAGGTAGATGCGAAGACCAGAGATAACGCATAGAAGTCCTAGGCTGGAGCCGACGAGCTGGAAGTTCTTGACACCAAGTTGTGCTTGATTATGAACCGTAGGAAAAGTGTAGAGCTCCCTTCGGGCAAGTAGTTCATGAACACGGAGAGCGGAGGTGCTGTATTGCTGGAGAGCTCCTCCCAGGGCCTGTGAAGGTTTGTGGAAGAGACTTGTCTTGAGAGGTTGATTGCCCTTTAGCGCACGAGAGACACAGAGTGTCTCTACGGCGGTGAGCCAGCTAAGGCAGACGGAGGAGGCCCGTACATGATCCGCATCAACCTCCAGCTTCCCCATAATCTCGAGGAGAAGATCACCAGGGAGATCAGAGAAAGATCGCGCCATTGTTGGAGGATTCTGAGCAGAGTTTGAGCAGATGGTCGATGGCTGCGGCTCGGCAGCGGAGATCTGGGGAAGAAGGGATTACTGCTCCCCGGGAGGGTAACCTGTATCTTGGGCTGAAGGGCCTAATTTTGCTGCTGTCTCCGTCCCAGGCCCCTCCACTCCATCCAATAGGTAAAACCCATTAGGCCCATTGGGTTCGTCGCCACCAAATGCTAGACCATTTCTCGGGAAGATTATGAACCCCCATCCTTTGACCTGAAAATAAAGCAAAACAGTAGCAGTTAGAAAATTGTTGTATATGATAAACAAGAAATTAAACAAGCAGTGAAAATAGGTCGCCACCTGATGAGTTTTGATCGTGCAACACAGGGACTCCGGTATGGAATTTGTAGAGGCCATGAAGAAAGAAGCAATTTGGGTGAGGCGTTTGTTTTGGGGTGAACAAGAGACTTCTCATATAGCAAGAGGAAATAAATTGTTTTCTTTGTAAAGGAGACAAGTATTGAATAAAATAGTTGGCTATGGAGTATTGAACGGCTGAATACCGCCTCGAATGCCGGTTTGCTAGGTCTAGGCTATAAATAAAATATGGAAATTTGTTCCAAAACAATACACACCACGTTATTAATTTCCCTTTCCCAATATAGGTTTAGGTTAATAATATCTTGCATGCGTTATTATCTCACCAACCAACCCGCAATTGGTGGTGGTCATTAGGGGTGGAAGTTTGGTTTGCGGGTTGTCAGTAACCCGCAAATCGCACACTTTGTGGATACCCATACCCACAATTTGTGGATAGTGGGTAGCAAAATATTGATTTTTGTGGTTAGTGGTTAACCACTACCCATGGCGGTTTATCCACAAAACCCACATTAGTTATATTTATTTCTTCAGAATACTTTGTAACCCGCATTAACCAATTAGTTATATTAGTTTGTGAAACTTGGAAGACTAAGAATTAAAGTAGCTACCAAAATCAAATATGCACTTATTCTATAAAACAAAATCAAAACACTACGCAATGTTCATGTGAGATACTTTTATTATATAAGCAGTGTCCCTGTGTTATATGTTTATTTTATAACAAATCCAAGTCCATAGATATAGTCAGATAAATTAATCGATTCGTTAAAAGAGGGGAATAATCGATAAATGTTAGTCACATACCCAAACTCATCTCCATTTCTCCACGAACTCACGAACAACACAACATGCAACCAACTACCAACAACACAAGACTATAATCGAAAATGGAGAATAATCAATTCATTAAAAGCGGGCGCCTCCACTTATCGAGCCACTTTTGTGTTTTGCTGTTCTTGCCATCGGAGGAGCCGTGACATGCAATGATGTTAGTCTGGTAAAATATCACTTCGCCTCTCTGTTATTTCAAATCTCTTTCCAAATCCATCTCTTCTGAATTTACACTAACTAATCTATTGTATTCGAGATTTATAATTTATTTTACACTTTATTAACTTTCTTTTATGTATGTTTTTGTTTTTGTGTGAGAAGAAATACAACATCACTATTTAATTACATTATTATTATATTTAATGTGAAATTTTTGTGGGTATCCACAACCAACCCGCACCAACCAGCAGCGGGTAGTGGTTAACCACTATCCACTGCGGGGCGGATTGTGGGTAGCATAATTCTATATTTGTGGGTGTAGTTACCCGCAAAATGTGGGGCGGGTAACCACACCCACCCCAATTTCCACCTCTAGTGGTCATCATAAATTATGGCGTGTAATCTGTTGGGAATACCATTTTATTTATCAACTAAACAAATATATCTAAAATAGGTGATATCTATAATATTATTATGCCTGCATTATTATATCACAATCATGAATTTTTTTTACCTACCCTCATACGAATTATTACGATATAATGACGTGTTGGTGATCGGGTTCCAAAATTGGTCTTTTGAACCAAAAAGTAGGGATGGCAAAAATATCCGTAACCGTGGATATCCGCCCGAATCCAACCTAATCGGGTAGGGTAAAACCCGAACCCGAAGAGCTTTTAGTGGGTACGGGTAAAACCAGAACCCGAATATTGCGGGTGGGCATGGTTTTCTCACTATCCAACCCGAACCCGCCCGATTATACATTGATTTATTGGAACTCGACACATTGATTATTAATAAAATGGGTTATGATTTAGGACTTTTAGGTTTTAAGGTTGTCGTCACAATTGTTTTGTTCTTCTGCTTATGTTTTCTGTTTTAATTTTGCATTTGCTTTGTTGCCAAAAGTAGTTGTAGGATCTGAGAAGGCTATTGATAATCCGCATTTCAAACGAAAATAGTTTGTTCTGCTCGTAATGACTGTTTACCAGTGGAGTGAATTATTATTATTGATGATTTAATTGCACCATTGTAAACTTGTTTGTACCCTTGAATCTTTCAGGGGGGGAAAAAGATGCACCATGACAATAAAAACAACTCAGTAATGAAGTGCTCGATTTTTGGTGATACCTAACACTTATTTCCCCTCCACTAATTGCTATTTCAATTGTCACTCATCTATTGGACATCCAAAAGTAGATCCATCATGTAACTTTTAATTTTGGGTTCGAACGGATCCACTTGATGACTTGACTTGAGTAGTGATTAATCCGCGGATTGATATCGATCCAACCGCAAATAACCCGACCCGCATACAGTGGCTGATTGATGTGGGTGGATTGCGGATTGTTAAATCTCCCACCCGCACTTATGTGGGTGGATTGCGGGTCATCCGTATGACCCGCGTCCTATTTTTACAAGGAAAAATATTATTTCTTATAGTATCAAATATTCATCATATTTTCGAACTGCACTATAGTCTGACCATATACTTCAAAAGTTGGAGAATAAATAATAGTTTTGACTACTATTATTGGTTATTGTGTTGTGCGATATCCATTGGATATTGGTATACAAATTATTGTTAATATCCATTAAATATTGAGATACAAACTACAAATTATTAACCATATCAAAATCACAAATTATTGATACAAACTTACTAATTTGCTATGAATTTATTATAAATGTTAGTCAATTTTCTTAATGGCTAGTTGGAGAATTGCTTTTGCCGGTTAACCCGCGATCCTACCGCACTCATCCGCCACCCACCCAACCCACCCCGCATAAGTATGTGGGTGGATTGTGGGTCACATGTATTCCAACCCGCTAGTAAGCAGGTGAGTCAATTTTAGACCAAAATCCATCCAACCCGCCCATTGCCCACCCCTAATGAGTAGTGACAAGCCTTAGGTTGATCATGTATAGCTTCTTATCAGATTTTTCTAGATACTCTGTTTATAATCTCTTGTACATTTCTTAATATCTTCTGCAACACTTTGTACTGGTCCCATTTTATGTAGGACTGGGAAATGGTGCGGTCTGGTCCATATCAGACCATATAGACGGTCTATGGTCCATATCAAGAGACTAAAGTATAGACCAGAGATCAGAACACATACTATACGGTCCAGACCAGACCACGTCTGCACGGTCTGGTCCAGACAGACTACATTGAACAAAAAATAAACACTTTGTTAAGTCATCCACACTAAAATAGAACAAATAATTGAGGAAATAAATTTTTTTTTTTTTGCCTTAAAACATAAAATCCAACATGCATGAATAATTTTGACTCTTAAATCTTAGTAAATAATAAAGATACAAAGTCGAAGATCCCAACTCGCACCATAACATCACAAACATTAACATAATCATATAGAGACACAATCGTCTTTATTCTCTAGTGAAATGTGGTTGCAGTGAAGGAGGAGAAGAGATTCTCAAAATTAAGGTTGAGACTTGAGTCTCGTTGGCGAAGTTGGGAAAGTGGTCGAGTGGGATACTAACATGTATTAGGAAGTCGACTAGATCCATAGTTTGGTCTGGTAAACCGCGGTCTAGACCAGACCAGACCAAGAGATCAAAATTTCATATAATACATACCATGGACCAGACCATTCTTTACAGTCTACGATCCTGACCAAATTATGCGGTCTAATTTAGTCCACGAATTTTCAAACGATCTGGTCTAATTTCCTAGTCCTACTTCTATGCAATATCAATTAGAAAAATGCTTTGTTAGAAACCCACCAGGCTCAGAACTTAGGGCACAATCATTTACAACGCATATCACATATGACAAATCTTTATTTAACCTCAATATCAGCCCTAACAGAAGAAGCCTGCAGCTTAAGAAAGAGATGACAACAGAAAATGTTAAACCTTCAAATATCCAACTGCATTACAATGAGCTTTCCTAACTACTAGTATGGGGGCCAAAAGAGACACTCAAAAGATCCCAAACTCCACGTTCCCAAATCTGCCCAGCCTACAAACTGGTCATGGATCGGAAGAGGCCCCACATAACTTAAATCTTTCGCCACAATAACTTAACGCTTCCAACAATAGTAACTTAGAAGAGAATGGAGAACTTATTCAGTAACATAAGGTCATGGCAGAGATTACAGGGCACCCTAACAATAATAATAAACACCCCCTAATGATGATGATATGTTTTATTAAACCCGCACTAAGATGGCAAACAAAGTGCTCAATCTTCTTCCTCTGGTGATGATGCTTGGAAAGCTATACAGTAGTTAAGTCCTTGTGGGTGTAGGTTACACCCTTATCACCATCTACTATTTGTCCACTGCCTCTCAGTAACCTGCAAATGCAACGTAGAGCAATAGGGCAGCTTGTTCAGGAAAAGAAAAGGGTCCTTCTTTGTTCTGCATAAAAAGGAACTTCCTTTCCAGGAAAACTAAAAATGGAATGAAACATGTGGGCAGGGGATGAAAGGAGATTGGAGTGTCGGGTATTACCATCGGGTTGTTAACAATCCTTCGACTCCTACAGGGCCTCGAGCATGGATTCTACTCGTACTGATTCCAACCTGTTTACCCCATCCATCAAGAAAAATCCAGTAATAAGCATAACGCAATCTTAGTTAAAGATGCATATATAAGATTGACATTTGAGTTATTGACCTCTGCCCCAAGTCCAAACCGAGCTCCATCACAGAACCTTGTGCTGGCATTGTGGAAAACAGCAGCACTGCATTGGGTAAAAAGAAGAACCGGCATTGCAATGTCAATGATTATAAAACTGAAGCAACAATGATTTGAGACAAAACCATAATATTGTCTATGTGGGCTAGTTACCTGTCAACTTGTCTCAAAAAGTCTCTGCAACTTCACGGTCTTCTGATATGATGCAATCAGTATGGGCACTGTCAACAAGACGAGCAAACATCAGCAGACAAATTCGGTATGAAATGTCAGAAGAACTTGTATACACAAAATCAATTAAAATCTTGCCTTCCGTGTCCATGTAATCAATGGCAGCATGCACATCGTCAACAATCTCAACAGTACATGCAAGGGAACTGTACTCATGATGTAATGATGCCGGCTCTGGGATGCTCAGCTCCTCGCTTGCCCTTGGCCCACCATGCAGAACCACACCTGAATTACAGAAACATCTCGCAATGAATAGGTTTAATGACTATAACTTACAGGACGACCTAAAACCCAGAAGAGGCTGTAAACAGTATTCCATCAGTACCTTCATTCCGAAGTTCAAGTGCTAGCTCATTCAGGCCACCAGAGGACACTAAATCCTTATGCACTATGTGAAATTATACGGAAATTAGATATGCACTTTGATTTACGTGGTTCTTCCTCACGTTATGTGAGGCTTACATCCACGGGAAGCTCCTTCTTTTCTTATTAATTAGTGCGGCGGCACCAAGCCAGCCATATATGTAGTCCCTATTACACCATCATCATCTAGGGTTACATGTTGAGTACGAGAATTACACGGAGCAGAATCTACAGCCCGCTTCGTGACTGCATGGGCTGCATGCTCTCGTTGAGGGCTCTCGGGCTTTGACGCACAAGCAACATCATCCCGGCCCAATACTCCCCCGCAAGCTGGAGCGTGAAGGTCTCGAACGTGCAGCTTGGAGAGAAGGAATCGAAAACGATCGGCACCAAGGCCTTTGGTGAAGAGATCAGCAAGCTGAAATTCGGACCGTACCTTCACGGGAAGGACGTGACCAGCTTGAACACGTTCTCGAACGAAGAAGCAATCCATCTCCACATGCTTGGTGCGCTCATGAAACACAGGATTGTTCGCGATATGAATGGCGGCTTGGTTGTCACAATGTAGCGGCGTCGGACGAGGTTGAGGGACGCCAAGTTCACTAAGTAGCCACCGGAGCCATAGAAGCTCACTAACTGTAGTTGCCATGGCACGATACTCGGCTTCGGCCGAAGAACGGGCCACAACCTTCTGCTGTTTGGTACGCCAGGAAATGGGGGCAGCACCTAAAGTGATAAAGTAACCAGTCGTCGAACGCCGAGTACTTTGACAACCTCCCCAGTCTGCATCACAGTAGGCAGTCAGCTGAAGAGGATTATTAGATGGAAAGAAAATACCTTGCCCGGGGCTAGACTTCAGGTAGCGAAGAACGCGATGAGCTGCATCTAGATGCTGCTGACTGGGCGCATGAACAAACCGACTGAGGATGTTCACGGCATATGTAATATCTGGACGAGTAATCGTAAGATACAGTAAACGACCAACCAAGCGCCGGTACTGGGAAGGATCAGCAAGGACGTCGTCAGAGGGCCGAGTAAGCTGATGGTTCTGTTCAATGGGGAAGGAACTTGGACGAGCACCCTGAATGCCTGCATCCTCTAAGATGTCGAGCGCATACTTACGCTGACTAAGAACAACTCCTGTGGAAGTCCGAGCAATCTCAATGCCCAGGAAGTATCGAAGGGAGCCAAGGTCCTTGATACTGAACCGATCATCTAGAAACTTCTTGACCCGGGAGATAAAAGCAGCATCGTTCCCGGCCAGGAGAACATCATCAACATATATAAGCGCAGTCACAAATGTGCTCCCCCGCCGGTAGATAAACAAAGCAGCATCTGCAGGCGAAGAACGAAAACCAAACTCAATCAGGGCTGTAGTGAACTTCTGGTACCAGTTACGAGAGGCCTGTTTGAGTCCATAGAGGGACTTGTGAAGACGACAAACTCGGTTATCACCAGGTTGCTGAAAACCTTGAGGAACCTCCATGTACACTTCCTCGTCAAGGTCGCCATGAAGGAAGGCGTTATTAACGTCCAGTTGATGAAGATGCCACCCTTTGCTAACGGCCACTGCAATCAAACAACGGACAGTAACAAGCTTCGCAACAGGAGCAAATGTGTCGTGAAAATCGAGGCCTTCAATCTGGGTATAGCCTTTTGCTACCAACCGAGCCTTAAATCGCTCGATGCTGCCATCGGGATAGTATTTGATCTTGTATACCCATTTTGCAGCGATGGTACGCTTGCCAGGCGGTAGGGACACAAGGCTCCAGGTACCATTTGCCTCTAGAGCTTCAATCTCTTTAATCATGGCAGCACGCCACCTCGGATCCCGAATTGCATCACGGAAATGAGTCGGTTCTTCGCCACGGGTGACTGCGGCAAGAAAAGCATAATAGGACGGTTTAAAACCAGCATATGAAACATGTGAAGACAAAGGATAGTGAACCAGGTTACTAGTACTTCCCTCGTCGCCCGGGAAATAGGTATGGTAGTGCTCGAGGAGATACTTGGGCCGAGTCTTCTCTCGGTCACTACGCCGCACCGGGGGAGCAGCCGCGTCGGGAGGCGGTCGAGGTGAGCGGGGGGGCGTGGGTACAACCCCAGCTGGTGACGACGAATGATCAGTAGCACCTGATCGAGAACTAGAGCTGCCAGGCGAAGCGGCACTGTTCGGTTGCTGGGAAGAGTCGGACTCGTGATGCAAGGAGGACTCCTTGGCATGTGGCTGGTCCATAACGTGCATGGGAGACATGCTGCATGCATCAGAAGGAGAGAAATCCATGTCGAGCTGAAAGGAGGGCCGAGGTACCCAATGCAAGTCTCGTTGGGTGTTTTCTTGGAAGGGAAATAAAGACTCATGGAATTTCACATCACGAGATGTCACCATGCGCTTGGAAATCAAATCATAGATACGGTATCCCTTTTGGGAAGAAGCATACCCTAGGAAAACACCAGCCCGCCCTCGAGCTGCGAACTTGTCTAAATGCCCATGAGTATCTTTATAGTAAGCCAAACATCCGAAAACTTTGAGATGACGATAGCCGGCGAGTTTTCCAAACAAAAGTTCAAACGGCGTCTTACCTGTAGCTTTGGTTGGAAGCCGGTTGATCAAGTAAACGGCAGTAAGAATACATTCTCCCCAAAAATGGAGAGGAAGACTTGCTTGAAACCGCAGAGCTCGAGCCGTCTCAAGAATATGTCGGTGTTTACGTTCAACCACCCCGTTCTGCTAAGGTGTATCGGTGCAGGATGTTTGCAACAAGATCCCATGCTGCATGTAGTAATCACGCAAAGGTTCTGTACTGAATTCAGGCCCGTTGTCCGCCTGAATGCGGCGAACAGATTTCCCAAACTGTGCCTGTACCATTTGACAAAACTGCAAAATATTCCGACTCGCCTCAGATTTAAAACGAAGTAAATAAACCCAAACACCACGTGTGAAATCGTCAACGATAGTCAAGAAATAATGTGCTCCGCTCAAAGAAGGGACCTTATATCCGCCCCAAAGATCCACATGAATAAGCTCAAAACTGCTATTAGTCTTAATCATGCTAGACTGAAAAGGAGAACGTGATTGTTTCGCTCTGGAACAAGAGTGACAAGGAATGTCGTTATTTGGAACAAGAGGTAAAGATAATGTGCGCCCAAGCTGTAGGAACTTCTCAGGCGAAGGATGCCCCAGACGGGCATGCCACGGCTCATCAGCAACCGAGCTCTTCTGTTGCGTTGTATATGCTTGCGTTTTTCCTTGACCAAACAGACGCAAGTAGTACAGTCCATCACGCAGCTCACCCTTCCCAATCAATTTCTTGGAGACTAAGTCCTGAATGACGCAAAATCCATCAAGAAAAACCAACGCAACATGATTATCCCTTGTCAGTTTGCTCACAGACACCAAATTACACTTAAACTCAGGGACATGCAGGACACGTTTCAGCGTGAAACCAGGCTGCAAATCAACTGATCCAATAAGCTTAACGGGAATGCTATCACCGTTAGGAATACGAACTGGTTGGCCGTTAACTGGAAGGCCCTTATCCGATAAAAAATGCTCATGCATAGTGATGTGCTCGTTACATCCAGAATCGAGTAACCATTCAGAAGAGTCAGAAAGAGTACCTGCCATGTGAGCCGCAGGATCATCAACAGAAGAGTCAGAATGCTTGAAGAACTGTTTCAGCTGCTGAAGTTGAGCCATTGTGAATCCCGGAATCGGACTCTGGTCTGCGTCGACTTGAGATGCCTTTGGCTCTCGACTGTGATTATCACGGCCACCACCAAGTCGCCCTTGACGCTGTCCACGATCACCGGGACGATCACGAGAGCGATCCCGATCCCGATCGCGTTCTCTATCACGATCACGATCGCGAGGGGGATATCCAATGAGTTCCCAGCACGTCTCACGGAGGTGACCGGGTTTCTGGCAATGGGAGCACCGAAATTTCTCCCGATCAGAGGTAGGTCGATCACGATCCTTAGGAGCATGACTCTTCTCGCGTTCACCATGTGCCACAAACGCGGCGGCCTCGGGGGTTGACCGACGAGCTTGACTAATTAGCTTTTGTTGTTCCGCATTTTGAATAATGTTATAAGCTTCCCCTAGATTGGGAATTGGTTTCATTGCAAGCACTTGTGTACGTACATTACCGAATGCCTCATCTAACCCCATGAGAAAGTCGAACACACGAGCACTTTCCTGTTGCTCCCGAACTCGTCGCGAGACTCCGCAGGTGCAATTACCACACACGCAGCTTGGGGGAGGGAAAATGGCAGAGGATTCCTCCCAGAAGGCTTTGAGACGTGTATAGAATGATGAAACAGAGGTCTTTTCTTGTTGAAGAAGAGATATGAGGCGCCGCAGCTCGTATGCGCGAGCCGAGCTTCCCTGCCCAAAACGTGCACGTAAATCCGCCCAGATTTCACGAGCGCTTTCAGCAAAACGAACACTACTTCGGATTTCTTTGTCCATCGAGGTTTTGAGCCAACCCTTCACCATGGCATCACAACGAATCCATGCGTCCTTGGCGGGTTGGGCGGCTGGTTTGAGGATAGAACCATCCACAAACCCATACTTATTCTTGGCAAGAAGAGCATCCTTCATGTCAAGAGACCATTCACCGTAATTGGAAGCCGTCAAAACATCGCCAACGAGCATATTTCCTGGTCCATCTGACCGATCCAGCTGGTAGGCTTCTGGTAAAACAGCTTCACTCTTGCTGCCGGAGTTCGTCCCCGGTGTCACAACGGAGTCGGGCTCTTCGTCGCCCATGATGGAATAAAACGATCACCTGGACCTTAATGCTCTGATACCATGTGAAATTATACGGAAATTAGATATGCACTTTGATTTACGTGGTTCTTCCTCACGTTATGTGAGGCTTACATCCACGGGAAGCTCCTTCTTTTCTTATTAATTAGTGCGGCGGCACCAAGCCAGCCATATATGTAGTCCCTATTACACCATCATCATCTAGGGTTACATGTTGAGTACGAGAATTACACGGAGCAGAATCTACAGCCCGCTTCGTGACTGCATGGGCTGCATGCTCTCGTTGAGGGCTCTCGGGCTTTGACGCACAAGCAACATCATCCCGGCCCAATACACTAGAAGTGTTTCCTGGACAATGTAAAGTAAAAGCAAAACAGGTTTAGGTTCGTAATTCGTGAACAAGAAAAGCACGCGAAATGGGGACCAAGTTAAGGAGATGAGAGTAAGTCAGCTATTATACCATTGCATTACAGGCTGCTGGATAATCCACTTTCGCATCCACTACAATACGCTTGGCCGTTTGCATATTAGCAGACTTGTCAACATATACATGACAGACTCCATCTGTTTAGTAGCACAACACATGTGACTTCCATATTTGGCTGCGTCAACAGACCGACAAATGAAAATAATGTTATTTATTACCTGCATGACCCAGAACAGGGATCTTGGTTGATGCTTTGATAGTCGAAACCAGTTTATTGCTGCCCCTAGGAATGACAAGATCGATTACATCATCGAGCTGATTTAAGGGGGGAAAAGGCAACACATCAGTCAAAACTCTCTTTCCAAGTTTTACGAAACAGAGTCATCGCATACATTGCATCATAGTTCTAACAACTATCCACCTTAAGTAGGTCAGGAATTTCATCTCTTGAGGTCACCAGTCCAATAAGCCTTCTCCCAACATGGTCTGGAATGGCATCAGTGATCACCTGTATATATATATATTTTTTTGTTTAAAACAAATTATAAGGGGAAGAGTAAATACGTAGGCTAAATAATTAATGTTCAAACTTCAGAGAGCAAAGAAGCAGACCTTGTGCAAAATTGCATTTGATCGCCTGGCCTCCTTTCCCCCTTTCAGTAGGAGACCATTTCCACTGCGGATCGCCAATGAAGCAATCTATTTAAAAGAATACAGCAAACTTAAAACAAATGACACAGATTTTATTTTAGGGCGAGCACGAAGGTTGCTGACCATACTATAATATAACCCACCTGCACTAGTGCATCAGGCCGAGCCTCAAAAACAATTAGCAGAACACCGAGAGGAGATGATGTCTTCTCTAACACAAGACCATCTGCAAGCTGGAACCATAAAACGGTATTGAGTAACACCTACCAACACAAAACATTTGGTAACATAGCAAAACAGATATAAGACTAATACCGATTGTTCCTGACCCCCAAACATCATTTTTAAGCCCATCCAAACAATTTCAGTACTTAGGTCAGGTGGACGTAATCAGACAACTTCCCATTGATGAGGGGCTGTTTGTTTTTAAAATGTGCATTTATCACTCTTATTTTCCCACTCTTTCTGCCCTAACTTATAGTGCAGGCTTAAATCATCACAATTTCAGCCAGAAAATAAAGTAGCGCATATATAAGGTTGTGTTACTAGAGTTGAAATCATAACAAGTTCAACTCAGCACTAGGAGAAGAAAGATATATCCTTACCTCGGTCGTCTTTAAAACGTGACCGTCTGGATCTTCCATGCTCGCAAGGACACGTAATGATTTTGAAAGACTTGTAATCTGGAAAGTAAGCATAAAAAAGGATGAGAAATGCATAAAGATAGAAAAATGGTCCAGACAAGGTCAAGAGCATAAAGTGATAAACAGACAGTATGTAAATCCAAGTCTATGCAACACGGCATTGTCTTGCCTTGCCAGGCTTTAGAGCCAGCCGTGCTATCAAGGACTTCTCCATTCCAGCCTGTTCAGCAGCAGCAACATCTGCCTCATTTTCAACCTTGATTACTTTTTTCATTGGCTTCTAGAGCATTTGCTATGTCCAGCAAAATCTTTTTCCTATCTTCTGAAGATAGTGCCTGTAGAAGAGGGCACAAACCGAGGAATGCTATAAAGTTAGGGCAAGGTAGAATTATAAATCAATTGCACAAACAAAATCAAAAGCTTCCTTTAACAGTGCAAAGAGATGGGATAATCCACAGAACCTGCAGCCTTCTAGAACATTCCCTTGCTGCAACCGCCATGTCTCGAGCACCTGTTTCTTTGTTTTGACCCACAAATGAGCATCACGGTGAAAGAGAGTGCCGACATCATCTCCTTGGAGGACTTTCAGTATGCTCTCAGGATCAAATCCGCTTTAAAAGGAGCCAGCTCAAAGATTATTATACATCGATGGACAGTACAAGATAATATCTTACACGGGAGAGAAATCAGAATTTTAAACGGTGTAACACCCCGACTTTTAGGTTCAGGTTCGATCGTAATACGTGAACGGTTGAATCGACGACAGTTACGTACAAAGGATTTTTTTTTTTTTTTTATCAATAGATCACTTGTATTACCAAGGCAACCAGCTAGAACAGTTTACATCTCAAAAGCAAACCAACGATAAAAATCAAAAGTAGCTACACTCGCAGGCAACAAAGAAAGGGTCTTCCTAGCCACCTCATGGGCCACCCGATTGTTACTTCTGCCAACAAATGCCACCTCAAAGCGCTGGTAGAAATGACGAAGCTTCCGAATTTCTTCCAGAATCCGCCCGCCTTTCACATCCCGAGCATCCCTGGTCTGGATTTTGTCAATAGCCACCTTCGCATCCCCGCAGAATTGCACTTCAACTAAGCCCTTCAAAGAGCACCACTGAACTGCATCACGAAATGCCACCAACTCGACCAGAAAGGGATCCACCAAACCTGCATACCAAAAACCTTGCACAAAACACACCCTACCCAACCCATCATACACCACCATTCCCCCAGCTCCATGTGACCCATCACGAACAGCACCATCCACAAAACAACAATACGGCATGACAGGCTGCAATCCCCTAACCCCACCAGACTCACCTCGCCCTTGCTGCTCCTGAACCTGCTTATAGTCACCAGACTCAATCAGCGCTAACCACTCACGAACCTGCTCCTCAAACTGTCTCACCAATGTACTCATCCCAAACTGGACCTGATCAAACACCACCCAGTTCCGACTTTTCCAAATCCTCCACAGCAATGCCACAAATCGAATTATCCTTTCTACATTGGTCTCCTGTTCAAAGAATCTTCGAAGGAACAAAGCAAAATTCACTGGAGGCTGCCTTACCATGCCTGTCCCCAAACCCGACCTCTCCCATAACTCCAGTGCCATCCGACAGGATAGAAACATATGTTCTAAAGTCTCTAATGGTTCCCAGCACACCGGACACTTGGGGTCCACCGCCGCACCATGCCCATCAATACCAGTGTCAAGCTCACAATCCTCCGGTAATCTACCTGTCCTCTCAATTATAGTTTCCATAGTCGGAAGGATCCTCTTCATGCACTGCCAAAGAAAACTTTTCAATTTCGGAGGAATGGGTAGCCCCCACAGCTTTTTCCAACATCGCACATCAAAAAAGGATACCTCAGCCTTCCACTCCTGCACCCTTTTAGCAGTTTGAACAGCCAGATGATACCCTGACTTCACCGTATATTCCCCATCCCCAGAACCCATCCAGACTTGGCAATCCTCCACCTCACCCTTTGGCAACGGTATAGCCTGAATAGCCTGGGCTACCGACCTAGAGAAGCACTGATTAAGGCACTCCACACACCATTCACCCTTACCAGGGATGATCAACGAATCTACCATCACTCCTGTCAAGTCTGGCGCCGCAATCTGCAACTCAATTGCCTCCGATTCAACTCCTGGGATCCAATTATCCTCCATGATACGAACCTGAGATCCACTCCCAATCTGCCATCGAAGACCTTTAACAAGCAAATCCCTGCCATGGAGGATACCAATCCACCCCCAAGATGGCCTTGAGCGTCGAGTCGCTGACAGAATCGACTCCTGAGGAAAATACTTACCTTTTAACACCCTTGCTAGAAGTGATTCTGGTTCATTCCAAATCCTCCAGGCTACCTTGGCCAACAAAGCCTGATTAAAATCCTCGAACCTCCTAAATCCCAATCCACCATCAAACTTACTCCGGCATAAGTTACGCCATGAAATCCAGTGCGCCTTTTCTTTGTCTCCCGCAAATCCCCACCAGAACCGCGCCATGTACTTATCCAGTTTACGACACAGAGTCACTGGCAAGAGAAAGCAAGACATGACATAAATCGGAAGTGCTGCAGCAACTGACTTGAGCAGCACTTCCTTCGCCGCCCAGGACAGTTTCTTCTGCTTCCACCCCTGGAGTTTAGCCAGTAATCTCTCCTCCAAGTATCGGAACGTTTCCAGCTTCGATCGCTGCACCAGGGACGGCAATCCTAAGTACTTATCTTGAACACCGATCGCTCCTACTCCTAGTATGGTCGCCATCTCCGTTGCTTCCGATGAATCCACATTCTCACTAAAGCAAACTGCAGATTTACTCAAATTCACCTTCTGCCCACTCAGATCCTGGTATTCCCGCAGCAGGCTAAGAAGCGTCTCACATTCTCGTCTGGACGCCCGAAGGAACAAGTAGGAATCATCAGCAAAGAAAAGATGGGACACACTGGGGCTCCGGGGATTGACCTTGACCCCGACTAAGCTTTTCACCTGTACTGCCTTTCTGATTAATGGCGCAAACCCTTCAGAGCATATAGCAAATAGTAGCGGAGATAAAGGGTCTCCCTGCCGTAATCCCCTTGTCGATTTAAAATACCCCGCCGGAGTACCATTCATCATCATAGAGAATGTTGCAGTAGAAATACATTCCTGTACCCACCCAATCCATTGCGCATTAAATCCCATCTTAGACATAATTGCAAGCAAAAAAGGCCACTCAACTCTATCATAGGCCTTTTCCATGTCAACCTTCAGAGCTAAGTAGCCTTTTTTCCCCAGCTTTTTAATCTTAAGATAGTGCATAATCTCATGCCCAATCAGCACATTATCGACAATCTGGCGTTCACGAATAAACCCATTCTGCTCTGGTGAGATAATAGAAGGCAAAATAATGGCCATTCGCTCAGCCATGATCTTCGAAATGATTTTATAGAACATCTGGCAAAGACTGATCGGACGAATCTGTTTCATAGTTTCAACCACGTCAACCTTCGGAACTAACGTTAACCAAGTATGGTTGAAGCTTTTCAACAATCTACCAGATCGAAAAAACGACTGGACCGCTTCTACAACATCTGGACCCACAATGTCCCAATACCGCCGATAGAACTTCCCCGTAAATCCGTCAGACCCGGGAGCCTGCGTTGCTCCTATATCAAACACTGCCCTCTTAATCTCCAACGCAGTGACCTCGACCGTCAAACTCCTGTTCATCTCTGCAGTAACACTAGCCGGAATGGGTAAATCCGCAACCCGGGCCTCCATGTCTTGAATCTGGTTCTCAGAGCAGAAAAGCTGCTCATAGTATCCACTCGCAACTGCCCCCTTCTGGCCCTCATCAGTTACCCAAATTCCGTCATTATTGTATAGTCCCTCTATGTAATTTCTCCGCCGACGGGCTCTGGTTACCGTGTGAAAATACCCAGAGTTTTGATCCCCTTCCCCCAGCCACTGCACCCTTGATTTTTGACGCCAGAATACTTCCTCACTCGCCCACTGTCTCGTAAGCTCGCGCTCAAGCTCCAACACCCGGTCCCAGTCCACATTTCCTTCACCTTTGATTGCCTCAATCTCCGTTTGAATTATTCGAATGTTTCGAGCTGAGTTCGTCGTGCCTGCACGACTCCAATCGTACAGGAGGTGGCGGAGGGACTTCAACCGCTGCCACAACCTAAACATAGGAGAGCCGGTGTATTGCTGACTCCAAGCATAACATACAAGGAGCCGAGTTTCCGGATTATCAGCCCATCTAGCATCAAATCTAAACAGCGGTTTAGAGCCCCTAACAAAAGGCTTATCGGCCACCAGCAATGCTCTATGATCAGACCCAAGGTCCGTACAGTGTTTGACCACTGTCTGAGGAAACTTCTCCATCCACATAGGAGAAGCTAGGACCCGGTCTAGGCGTTCCATGATACACGCCGTTCCCATGCGTCGGTTAGACCATGTAAATTGCGGACCAAGGAACCCAACGTCCTGCAAAGCCAACATATTAATAAAATCTCTCACTCCTGCCGCCCGGAATGGATCCCATGGCAAGCCGCCCGATTTTTCCGACGCTTCCATCACACAGTTCAAATCCCCCAACACCACATAGGGTACATCTATATTATCACAAAAGATAACCAGTTCATTGAGTTGCTGCTGTCTGATACCCACATCACTAGATAGATACACACACACACAAACATACTCAAAAGGGCCATTATTCTTATTAATACCAAACGAAATAAAGAAGCTAGAATGCTTAACAATGGAAAGATTAACACCAACATCCCACGCTAGAGCCAACCCGCCCGAAGCATTCTCCGCATCTACAAGAAAAAAATGCTGAAAACCAAGACCTCTCATTCTACGAGACACTACGCGCCTACACGATTTTGTTTCCGATAGGAAAACAACATCTGGCTTATTCATCCTACAAAGACCAAGCAAAGACTGGAACGTAAGGGACGGCCCTATACCCCTCACGTTCCAAGAGATCATCTTCATTTATTGGGCTGGGACCAATCCTGGCTGGTTTCCTCCACCATATTCTCAACACATTTCTTCTTCACTGGCGTTGGGTCAAATTGCAATCCTTCCACCTCCCCAGCAGCTCGCTTACGCTCTTCAATTTCTTCCGGGTCTGGGGCAGTCATACGAAAAGCCTCCTTACCTTTCTGCTTTCCCATACCTGGAATGCTGGGCTGCTGACGAGGCTCATTAGTCTGCCTGCTCTGCAGTTGTGATGCAGTACCCTTCAGCTGGTACTTCTTCCCGCCACCATGGCTGCTGTCTGCCTTTCTTCCCCCAGTATGAGGTGTGTAGCCGCCTCGGTGATGAGTAGAATAATGTCTATCATCTCCTCCATGTCCCCTGTAATACACCGCAGCACTTCCCTGCCCTCCCTTACCCTTTCCTTTGCCTTCCTGTCCCCTACCAGCACCATGTACATGAGAGCTCTGCCCTCCCATATTGCCGCCACTTCCCAGCCTTTGAACCTCAGCTTTCATTGAGTTTTTCCCCTGTATGGGCTTCACCAGCAGCTCTTGTTCATCATGCTTTGAGGCTGATAAGCCCAGTACCACTGGCCTGCTACCCTCTTCATTACGGTCCTCTTCCATCTCCTCTCCCCTCTTCTGTTTTCGCCCCTCCTGGCCAGAGCTACCAGTCCGAGGATTAACCCACACCGAGGAGTGCATTGCAGGCCGCAAGAGTTGGGGGATGAAGGCAGTCTCCTCCACACGATACCCAATGACTTCAGTGGATAACTCGGGGCCGTAATGTTCAATCCCAACTGGGTCTGGGAATGAGCAATTCGGAGCTATGTGACCAAGCCTGCCACAATGGTAGCACAGCATCGGCAAGAATTCGTACACCAATGTTACCCAGAACTCTCCTGCTAGCGGGTTACTAGCGTACACCTGTGATCGAAGGGGCTGCATCACATTTATCAGCACCTTGGCCTTGATGAAGTGACCCGGCATGCCTTGAATTGCATATGCTCCTGCCTCCATTACCGAGCCAATCTTCGCCCCTGCCACCCGCTTCCCAAAAGCTACAGTTCGGCAGTGTGTGGGGATTCCCCACATTTGAACCCAAAATGGAACCATTGTGAAGGAATCCACTAAGGGCTTGGAAATCTGACTCCATGGCTTCAACTGCAAAACTCTCTCCTTCACGGTCCAAGGAGTCCTGTGCAAAACCCAGTCTCGATCAGCCTCATCTGCAAAGAAGAACTGCAGCAGTCCCATCTCAGCCTCCAGCACCCTGACTTCCACCGCGCAATTCCACTCCCCATTCACTATCTTGCTTATCACCGCCAAGCTCGGCGGGTTATCCATGAACAATCTGCCCAATAGGCTCATCTTAGCCCATTGCACCCCTGTAGCCACATCATCCATCGAAAACTCTACGACCTGATCCATCGCCATGGCTTGGATACCTGCAGCCACTTCATCTACCTTCATCGCATCCACCTGCTTCTCAATTTCGTGTTCCCCAGCCACAATCTCTGGCAGCCCCGTCGTCACCTGGTCAGCAGGCACATCACCAGAGCTCGGCCTGTTCGGTCCAATCACCGTCGTCTCCGGCAGCACCACCTTCATCTGATCAACTGGAACACCACCAGTATTCAACATTTTCCAGGCCCAGATTCTCTGGATACACCAGTAAAGAACCCAAATTAGGCCGATGCATGGTACCACCAGTATACAAATGATACCCAGAACTCCCATCCACATAAACATAAGGATTGGAATCGTACCTCTCGAGTAACTCCACCAACGATTTGGAACTTCTCGCCGCCGATATAAACTCCACCAATGAAGACACCGATTTCTTGTTGGTGAGTTTCCCAGTCTCGTTTGAGAGACTAAATAGGTCCATTCTAGAGCTAATCGGAGAACCGTACTCTGGACGGATTCTCGATTCGGGTTTATCTTCCCCAATTTTCTTATCTGGATATACCGAGAGAAATAGTCTATTTCTCTAACTCTTCGCTTCGCGGCTATTCCTCCCCAACTAGGAGACCCGTCTTGAGCAGCCTCTCCAATCTCCTCCTCCCTGGATGCCGATGGAGGTACGGCGCTGATTTTTACTCTCTTAGACGCCAGCTGTGTCGCCGTCTTCAAAACCCTAAGTACGCCGCAGAAGATGCTCGCGATACAAACGAGGAGAGAAGCGAGAGAGTCTCGCATTTTTTTTTTGTTACGTACAAAGGATTACAATAGTGAATTAGGCATAATAATAATAATAGTAATAATTATTATTATTATATTTATTATTTATTATAGAAGGGGGTTTTCTCACCCGTTACTTCCCCCACCCGTTACTATTCCATTTAACCCCAAATTACACCCCGTACTCATAATTAAGCCTAAACCTAAACCTGATACACCAAAAGCCCCTGGTAGCCGAAACCCATTAGCAGTGCCGCCTCCTCATCAATTTCTCAACCTCGCAACCGATGGTAACCAAATAAAAGAGGAAAAGATAGATGGGGAGTAGAGAGTGACAGGCGGCAACATGGGATAGCGGATCGATGGAATAGTAGTAGAAAGCATGGGGATTATTCTTTCACGGAATAAATTGGACCGCCATCATCTCCAAAGACCTCCAGCCCCAGCGATGATCACTACCCCAGCATGTGTCCACCATTGCTCTATTTTCCTTCACACTATCACCGCCACCGCCAGTAGTAAGGACGAAGTTAGCGCAACTGGTTGATTGGAATTGTAAAGCGAGAGGCGCCAAATGGAGGTCAACGCAAAGGCAGCAGGGGTACGTATATATATAAGCTGAAATGGTTATTATTAGTGCATGTCATTAACATGTGGGTATGGGCTATCACTGGTCACACGTGTGATGAAAAGAGGTGGATGTAGTGAATTGTTCAAGTAGATATAGCCAACGGGGGTTCTCATATTAGCTAATCAATGAGTGGTTTTGGACAATCCTTGTGCGAGGAACAAATGGAGTTGGAAGAAGAGGACTCATGGGCTATGGTGTTTGGCAGTGGAACCTAAAAGGCGAATCGAGAAGTGAGGCCACACCATCTGATGTAGGATCGCGTGTAATTGGAGTTAGTGACTTGATTAATGAGGTGAGTGTAAAGAGGGTAAAATCTCCGTCGAGGGTCTTTTAGTTTATGCCTTTTTAATTCAGTTATGTTATTTAATTTTCAAGTAAGCGCGATTATGTGTGTGAGGCATCCCACCGCCTACTTAAGGTGGAGGCACGCGTTGTGCTATGTATGTGTGTGTTTATGATGTATGGATGGTGATAATTGAACCCCCGGGCGGTTTGGCCACTACTGGACGCGGTAGATGGTCGGGTCACTACTGGACGGCGATACGTAACGCAGTAGTTGACCGGGCATGGACTGGACGGCGATACGTAACGCAGTACCATTGCCTTGAGGATAGGGACACCGGACGGCGATACGTAACGCGGTGATTCCCTAGTAATAAGTATATAAGTTAAGGTAGTAGTAGAGAACTTCTATGATTTAAGGATAAAGGTTGAGAACCTCTATGAGTTAAAGTTGAAATGAGTTGTTAAGGATGAAAGTGAGAACGACTCTCATCTAAGGAAAGGAAACGCTAATAACGTGTTTTAGTAAGGAGATTTCTAAGTGCAGAGGCCTTAGAACGTAACGACGAGACTGACCCCTTCTCACTCACCAGGTTGAGGTTGGGTTAGCGGAAGTGCATCCCAAGAAGAAGTAAGATGAGGTGACCGGCCGTGCCACTACTAGTGAGAAGTCAAGAAGCTGGGTGAAGGGTTGGAGTTAAAACTTGAAGGTTATTTTATGATTATGATTATGAGTATATGTACTCGAGATTCAAGGTTCAAGATGCTGGGTTAAGTTGTTTAAGTATTTGGATTTTGATTGCCCAAGTGTTAGGGCTTTTCGTTTGAACTTCTTAAATAATGTCAGTTTGTTTATTTAAAAAGTGGTTTGGTTGCTCCGGAGTAACCGGTTTTGGGTTTGAGTTGTGGTTTGATTTTTCGAAAAAGGGTCGGGATGTTACAAACGGGATCTGCAACAAAATCATGAAAGAAAAACTACATCTAGAGTTAGCTTTTCCAAAATAGAAGCACAGATCCTATATAGCACGGAAGAATACCTGGTTATAATGACAGGGACACCTGCCTTAGCCGCCATTACAGCAGCTTTTACTTTGGCTGTCATGCCCCCTCTTCCCAGCCTGGACTTGTCTCCAAATGTGATTCCACCCAGATGAACTCTCTCAATGTATGTACGAATCAACTTCGACTCTGGATCACTGGGTGGACCACTGTAAAGACCCTCCACATCGCTCAGCAGAACAAGAAGATCAGCGTTCAGCTCCAGTGCCAACAAAGCTGCCAAACTATCATTATCCCAAAATATACCAGAAGAATCCTGTAGAAGTAAGTTCCCACGGGTCAGAACTATCAATTGAGGTGAGAAGAATCCTGTAGAATAGACTATTATGCTGTTAACAAAGACCAGGGAGAAAAGGCGGGTCAAGAGGGAGGTGCATAGATAATCAAAATCAAAAGATGGAAAATAGTTAATTAATCTTGCCTAATTTGGCTGTAAACCAAAACCAGTGTATTGACCTTTACCAAGGATAAAAAAACAAAGTTTAAGACTTTATCATGCTCTGATGTGAGAAAACCAGAAGGAGAACCAAGACAAAGTGACATGCCTCGTATGGTGCTCGCCTAGTACTAACAGCATCATTTTCGTTGATTATGGGAACAACCCTTAGCGACATCAGCGACTCTATAGTATGCTTAAGTTGCTTCCTGAATTCTTTATCCCTAAAGTCTGAATCAGTCACAAGAAGTTGAGCAGATGTCACATCCAGCTGCACAAGACAAGATGCAGTTCATTAGACAATGTGTCATGAACAGAACCCCAAATTAACAGAGCACAAGGATGATGAACAGAACCAAAAATATAAATATATTTGAATAAAACTCCAGCATATTGGTAAGAAGACTAATTCTATGAATCACCTGACTAAACAATGTGTCATAAAGGGCCATGATACAATTCTGCCCAACAGCAGCACAAGCTTTACCATCGAGACCATCTTGTGGCTTTTGGAGATCAGCAAAACTACAACACCACAAACACAAATCAAATCGGTATCTCCCAATCTAACCAAATAGTCCTATATTTAGAACTATAACAGCACGAAAGATAATTTATTTACCCCGTTAACAGATTACCACTCGAAGAGAAGAAAAAAAAAACAGATGGGCCCAAGAAATGCATCTTAGAATAGAAAAATGGGAAGTGAGGGAAGTACCTGCTATTGACCAACTGGCGGTATTTCAGCCTTTGGCGGCCAAGGCCAACAGCACCAGAGGTAACAACAATGACTTCATAATGCTGGTAATTCAGCTCTTTAATCTGCGCCCACCATTTTTCATATTTATAAAGACGTCTTTTCACAGGAAAAAAACATATGACAAACAATAAAAACAAAGCCCAGAAAGAGAAGGGGGAAAAAACGATTAACAACCTGCTCGCAGAGCGCTCCCAATCTTCCAAGTGCCAATCTTCCATCACCTCTGGTGACAACAGCAGTCCCAACCTGCAATGACAATCAAACCCAAAAGAAGTAAAGGGTCAAAACGAGGTCAAAATTGATTGCAGCCATTGTTATCCCTAAAAGGGTAGGAAGGAAACACAATCATAAAGAGGAAAAGAGGCGAACTTTGATGACGATACGCTTCACTTCCTTCACAAATGTCCGAGGGGTCTCGGCGGCGCCGCCGTTCATCATGGTGGCAGTCAGTAGGGGGAGTGACGCCGCGACTCGAGAGAGAGAGAGAGAGAGAGAGAGAGAGAGAGAGAGAGAGAGAAATGGGTGGGTGGGATTTTTTTTTTTTTGACAAAGGATACCAACTTTTATTCCACCAAATAACTGAAAGACGAGAAACTCGGTTACACATCTTAAAGAAGATCAGAAATGAGGTCAAGAATATTAATCCAATCATCAGGGAGAGTATCTCGAGCTTTTGATCGTGCCACCCAATCAGCTCTGACATTTAGTGCTCGGGGCACTTCTTTGATTTTGATGAGAGGGTTTGTCCGAAGGATAGCGACAATCGACCCGATCCATGCTGCGCATCTCCATGGCCAACGTGAGTGATCGTAATCCAAGACTTTCACCAGCACCTGGCAATCGGTCTGGACCGTACATTCGGATCCATATTCTTGAGCTAATTTTACTCCTTCAAGAAGGGCCTTAGCTTCAGCTTCAATCGGGGTGGAACAAAGAAGAACCTCAGCTCGCCCATCACATACTTGTCCATGGTGGTTAACAACCACAACACCATATGCCGCCGGCTGGGAGTCGTTAATGAACGACCCATCACAGTGAATCACCAAAGAATGATTACTTGGCGGTGGATTTGTATGAGACTGGGATCTCCTGAGCTGAGTGGGCAAGGAAGGCAGGGGAGGAGGGTCCCTCGGGCATGAATTCCATTCAGAAAGCTCTTTATAAGTAAGTTGGCACACCTGCGGGGGCCACGGTTTTCTATTCTTGAAAGAGCATTCATTTCTCGCCTTCCAGATATTCCAGCACAGGAACACCAAATGGATCAAGGAGCTATGCTGAATAACATCTTTAAGGGAGCAGAACCAGTCAAGGAACAGGGTTCCTTGAGGGGCGAGGGGGAGAGATGGAAACAGGGCATTCCATGCCGCCTTGGCATGAGGGCACTGGAAAAGACAGTGATTGATGGATTCGATGGGGTTCTGGCACACCTGACACGTAGAGTTGGGAGCGCATTTTCTCTGGAGCAGTCTCTCTTTCGTAGCAAGCCCATTCCTGCAGCACCTCCAAACAAAGAATTTCAGCTTCGGGGGGAGGTGGAGGCTCCAAATCCACTTCCATTTTTCGGTGTTCCCGCTAGGTTGCGCATTGGTATTGGCTCTATGAATCGAATGGTACGCCGATTTCACTGTGAACTTTCCATCATTGTTGTAGTTCCATGCCCAAAAATCATTGGCTCCTTCTTCCCCAATGGGGATCCTGAGGATAGCATCTAGTTCTGAGCCTGACACATTCCCCTGGATAACATCCGACTTCCACTTCCTTTCTCCCGGATCAATCCACTCGCTGACCTTCTGATGATTCTGGGGTCCGCTCCAAAGAGTATTATTTTCCAGAAAGGGGATCCAAGGGTCTTGATCAACCCACGTGTCTTCTCCTGATCCAATCACCCTAACTGCTCCCTTCCCAATCACCTTTTTTGCCTCCCAGATACTGGCCCAGATCCACGATGCTTTGCTTCCCTTTTTCGCATTAAGAAAATCACCTCTTGGGAAGTACAGACCTTTAAGGAGACGGCTCCATAAAGAGTCAGGGATCGTAAGAAGGCGCCAGGCCTGCTTTGCGAGCAGGGCTAGGTTAAAATCGTTGAAGCTCCTGAAACCTAAACCCCCCTCTGCCTTCGGTAGACACAGAATCTCCTTTTTGCACCAATGTAGACTACTCTTCTGCATAGATCCTGACCAAAAGAAATTACTGAGAAGAGAGTCCATTCTCTTTGTGAGAGCCTTCGGGAGATGGAACAGGCACATGATGTAAGAAGGAATAGCTTGTATGACCGCTTTCAGAAGGACTTCCTTACCACCATGAGAGAGAAGGAGGCTTTTCCACGCCTCCCCCATTTTTTCCATCCTTTGAATGAGAAAATTAAAGGTTTCTTTCTTCGAATTTCCCCACTCAGTCGGGACTCCAAGGTACTTTGAGTGGCAGTTCGATGGAGCAAAGCCAATGCTTGCGATGATATGATCCTTGACGTCCCCAGGGACATTTGCACTGAAGAAAACCGAAGATTTGTTGATATTAACCTCTTGCCCTGTTATGGCTCCATAGTCCCCAATAAGATCTATAATTTTCTGTGCTTCCTGGTACTCGGCCTTTCCGAATATGACTGTGTCATCAGCAAACAGGCAATGAGTGAGCACTGGGCATCTGGCATTCAATTTAATCCCCTTCAGGCTCTCATTAGCCACCGCCTTATCAATCAAGAAAGTGAGGGCATTTGACATGAGAATGAAGAGGAAAGGTGAGAGAGGGTCTCCCTGTCTTATGCCTCTGGAAGGCTTGAAAGAATCAGTTGCTTCTCCATTGAAGAGAATAGAGAAACTGACTGTTCTAATGCAAGCACTGACCCACCCACACCAACGATTGTCAAACCCATACTTCTTGAGAAGCTCCTCCAGACACTCCCAGTCAACCATATCATAAGCCTTCTTCATGTCCAACTTCAGCATCATATCTCTTCTCCTACCCAACTTATGGTTCTTGAAATGGTGTAGGGCTTCATGGACAATAATGATATTATCTTGAATAAGTCTACCCCCCGTGAATGCTGTTTGCAGTTCAGAAACCAGATCGGGGGTCCACCTCTTAAGTCGTGTTGCCATAACTTTTGATATGATCTTATATCTAAAATTACAACAGCTAATAGGCCAGAATTGGCTTATCAATTCTGGGTTGTCGACCTTGGGGATCATAGCGATGTGAGTTTCATTCCATCCCGCTGGCATACTGGCTGTTTCAAAGAAACCTCTAACTTCTCGACACAAAGTGTCTCCTAAAATATCCCAGTATCTCCTGTAAAATCTTCCAGAGAAACCATCCGGGCCAGGAGCCTTACGAGCTCCCAATGAGAAAACAGCTTTCCTAATTTCCCCATCCGTCACCATAGCACAGAGATCCTCATTCATCTCCGGAGTCACTTTCTCCGGGAATCCATCTAACAGATGGTTAAAGGGCAGATAGTCCCTAGCCTTAAAAAGGTCCTTATAAAAATCTTCGGCTAGTCTTTTGAGGCAACTTTCATCCTCAATTCAATTCCCTTCTCCATCTTGGAGTTTCAGAATTTTGTTTCTATGCTTCCTATGAATAGTGCTTGAGTGAAAGAAAGAAGTATTCTGATCACCTTTTTTTAGCCAGTTAACTCTCGAGCATTGGCTCCAGAAAGCTTCTTCATCCCTCCAAAGCTTTGTTAATTCGGTTATGAGTCCCTTCTCCTCTTCCACATTCTCCACCGATCTTGGCGGTTGTTGGAGAAATTCGAGCCTAGACAAAATTTCCTTCTCCCTTCGAATACTGTTCATATGGAAGTCTTTCGCCCATTCCTTTAATTCTCTTTCACATTTGTTCAGCTGGTCAGTTGACTGGCCTCCCGGGTCCCAAGCTCGGGCCACAATTTCCTTGCATTCTTCTTTCTCCAGCCATCTTTCATCGATCCTGAAGGGTGTCTTCTTCCTCCTGTTTCCTCGATAATGAAGATCAAGTCTGATCGGGCAGTGATCCGACTCCACCATCTTCTCATGGAAGACCACTGCTTCCCCAAATTGGGCACGCCAGGACGTTGAGCAGAGAACACGATCCAACCTCACTCTTGTCAGGTTTTGGCCCGTTCTCTTGTTGGTCCAAGTGAAAGGTTCCCCTTTGTACCCTAGGTCAATCAGAGCATTCTGGAATATGAACCTCTTAAAGGGTTCGACATTCTCGTACCTAAGGGGGCATCTCCCTTCCTTTTCATTATCATAAATTGCCGCATTGAAATCCCCTACGACTACCCAGTTATCATCCCTACTACTCCGCAGAGAGCTCAGGTGCTCCCAAAAATCCCTTCTACTAACAGCTGTGAGGGTGCATGGACAAAAGTACAGAAAAATTTTCTACCCATATCTATACTAACATCCATGTAGTAGCTATCACTACTTAAAACCGTAATATTAATACCCGCTTTCCACCATAAAGCAATCCCCCTAGACGAGTTAACCGGTTCAACATACTCTCTATTGGGGAAAATTTTGAGATTTCGTCTTTGTTCTTCCATGAAAACCTCATTCTTACTAGTTTCCATAAGAAAGACAATAGAAGGGCCGAGGCGTCTGCAGAGACGCTTCGCATAACTTCTTGTAAGGGGAGGGCCAAACCCCCTACAGTTCCAACTTACTATGCTCATTCCGGATGAGGTGGCTTATGGCAAACCACCGCTGCCCTTGATTCCTCTGCCTGATTTCCCACAACCTCCTCTGATCTTCTCTCCCTTTGACCGTTCTTTTTTCCTCTTTGACCTTTCTTCTTCCTATTCTCCCCTTCTTGACCACCCATGTAGACAGCCCCATCAGATCTAAAGGAGTCCACCGTGACGGGCCTGCTGGTTCCCTTCCTCTTCTTACTGGGCCGGCCCACTTCTTCCTCTAATTCATCTTCAATATGCTGGTAAAGGCCCACTCCAACGCCTTGACTTCCCTGGGCCTTCTTCTTTCCTTCCTGGATCATGGGCCCAAGGGAGAGATCGGTCTGAACTCCCCTGGCCTGGCAAGCAGAGCCCGACCCGCTTCCCTCTTCGCGTCCCTCCTCTTCTCCTCTACCCTGTCCTTCAACCTCCCTTCCTCCGCCGCCGTCTCCCAACCTCAGCCCCCATTCAAGCTCCTCCGCCGCCTTCTCCAGATCAATGGATATATTCCTGGATCCAATAACATCCCTATACCTTCCCCTCTGTCTTCCCATCTGCCCCTGCTCCTCCAAACCGACATGAGCTTCCTCTGCCCTCTGAATAGTGAAACCAGGGGGAATTTTTTGGTTCCCCCCTGATGCTCCTCCCCTCTCCTCCTCCCAGCTGCTTCCCACCTCTTCACTTCTCCTGTACAACCCTCTTCCCTCTCCCCTGTTTCTTGATTGAGAAGCAGAGCTTCGACGAGGCGAGTCAACCCCCGCCTTGAGAGCCGCCGTGTATATCTCCGACAAGTAGGCAACACCGTTCTTCTTTCTCTCCTCATTCATCCTCCTACAGGTCTGCCAGTTGTGCCCGATTCTGCCGCAATAGTAGCACAGCTCCACCCATCTCTCGTATTTGAAGTCGATAACCTCGCAGTGCTCCACTCCTGAGAATTCATCAATAAAAGGGAAATCGAACCCTGTTGGTACAGGCTCCCTGATGTCCACCTCGACCAGAATGCGAAGGAATCTCCTGTATCCAGTGTAGTCCAAGCTTGCTCTGTCCAGGTCCAGCAACTCCAAGAAGTAGCTCGAGCCAATAGTCACCATATTTTCCTCGTTCCTTTGATTTTGATGTAGCCCGTGGATTTGAACCCACATTGCCATCTTCTCAATCGGGACATCTTCAGGCCTTCCTCTTCCATTGTACCTTTCAATCGCCGTCAGAGTGTTAGACAAGCTCCAGGGTCTGTCCCTCCATATCTTGTCTCTGATTTCGGTGTTGCTGAAGGTGAATAGGAACAGATTCTGGGTTTCAGTTGGCTGTATGTTGACTTCTCCGTAGCAGCCCCACGCGTACCGAGCTGCTCCAGCCGCCTTTGCCAGTGCCACTTTGCTTTCTGTTAACATCTTGCCCAGCAGCATGGACATTCCTCTTCCTCCAGTTGAGGACAGGACGAGACGCCCACCTCTGCCCCTGGAAGCCGACGGGACCAAGCTCTCCTTCCTTTGGTTGTTGGTTGCTTCATTCGTGATGGATTCCATTGGTAAGTTCAGAAGTTTGTTTTGAGTTTGAGGGTTTTCCTTCTTGCGAAAAGGGGGATTTGGGGTCTGAAGGAAACAGAGGGAAAAGGCAGCAGACAGAGAGTTGTGCACACCACCTTCTCCTCCCCAATCTCTCCTCCCTTTATTTCTTCTTCCATTCCTGTTCGCCTCTCTTTCCTCTTGATTGCGGTAGCTATCCTTCTTGTCAATCCCTTCATACTTTCCTTGGAGACTAACCAGAGTTTTCCCCTGTTTTTCCGCTGCCAGAACAGGGGCTCTTGGCTCGATAGTGCCTTCAGTTTGAGCGAAGTGGATTGTGTTGTCACTGGTCACCGATTTTGCAATTAATTTTGGCCCTTTCCCTTTACTCCTCCTTCCTCTGCTTTGGCTGGTGAGGAATTTATTGCCGCCGTCTGGGGGTTTCCACTCTGCCCTCTTCTTAATGGCCTCTTTACTTTCTTTTCCAGGCAGTTTCTGCAGAAGAACCTTCCCTGCCCCTGGAATAATGGCTCTCCCACCACCACCTAGGGAGACAGAGTTTCTGTGATGAGTAATGGTGATAGGGATTGGCCTTTGAATGCTCTTTGCTAGAGCTAGAGAAGTCCCAGTAAGGGGGACGGGAAAAGAACCGTTGTTTGGTTCAGAGAAGGTGACCGTTAGAGAGAGAGTAGAGAGAGACATGGGAAAAGTTCTACTGAAACTCATTGGCTGCTTCAATTTTGGTGGGTGGGATTGGAGGGAGATAGTTTGGAGATGCGGATCAGATTGGGGTTTTTATGGAGGGGACTGGCTGAGCATTCCCCGTGAAAACGAAACTCAGAAAAACAATTGCGGCAAAAATAAAAGTCAAGAATTGGGACAGCAGCGCATGAGATAGAGTGCAAGGAGTCAAAAGAAAAAGAGTGAAACAAAAAACCCTGGATGGCTGGGTTAAAGAAATCAAAAGGAGGAGAGATGGAAAGGCTGGACACGTGGGGAGGGAGAGGCTTAATTGAAATTAGGGTTAATAGTTAATACCAAAACAAGTCCTAAACTTTGGAAAGATGAATTATTTTGTGAGGTTTTTGAACTGACATTGACAAATATGATTTTTTATGTGTTTATACTTGTGTAGTTGTAAGGCTTAATTGGGTATCAAATTTGATAAAATTATCAGACAAACAAATTTTGCGGATGATTTTTCATGAAAAATTATATAATCGCATTGCAAATCGTATATTTCTCATTGGAAATTTAACAACACTTGTAGATTATGATTATAAAGTAAGTAAAGATTTCACAAACTCCATAGAAAAGTAATTAGCATGATTTTGACAAGTTTGTCTTACAATATTATGTCTAACAAAGTTCAAGCCTTTACAGCAAGCATCAAGATCAGTGACGCCGCGTTGAACCCAGAGGAAGCTATAACCTCCATTAACTTGGTAAATTTACATATAAAACTTGGGTTAATTGCATGGTTGGTCACTGAGATTACAAAAACCGTTCAAGTTTGGTCACTCGAAATATTTAAATCCATTGGTGGTACTTCAGTTTATTGAAACCGTTCACGTTTGGTCACTCTCCGTCCAACTCCGTTAACTTTGGATGATGTGGCAGTCAACTCTCAAAGTTGACCGTTAACTTAGTGACGTGACAATTAAGAAATAATAAATAAAATTTATTTTATTTTATTTTAATGTCCAACTCATTTTTATCATAAAATAAATAAATAAAATAAAAAATTGTTTTAATTATGCAAATCATATTTTCTTCTTCATCCCGTCATATAATAATTTTATTTATTTGATTGATTATGCAAATCCCGTCAAGGCGGTCTTCCATACTGATCATCAACATCAACTCAGGTTTCCTCATAAACAGGAGGATCAACCCATGCCGAGTGAACGCATGACAATGGACTACTGCTACTACCCATAAACTGTAACTCCCCAAAATTCAGAAGATAAAGATGCTCAAGATTTGGCGCTTCCATTTCAATGGTGGGAAATATTCCTCTCTTCTCTCGTACATGTCGTGAATCAAAACCACTAAGCGGTTCAGAGCTTAATCGCCACCAATCATCCTGCTCCGAGTGGTTTCCTATATGCTCCCATCCAATGGCGGAGTTAGGTTCAAACGTGAAGGGGCTATACCCTCACGTTTGAACCTATATATATAATTTTATAACAAATTGAAGAAATAAATTACTCGGTAAGACATTAATCTCTCTTTTTTCATTACTACATTTCAACTCTTCAATCAAACGTAACTCTCTTTAAGTTGCAAGTTGCAACCGAGAATAGTAGGCCCGTATTTCCCTTTTCCATCCACAAACACGGTCCATTCCCTTCTCACACAAACTCAGCCGGACGACTCGGTAAAAACCCGATTCACTGGAACCGGAAAATAGAAACGGCGCAAAAGCAAAAACACCCCTCCCAAAAAAGGCCAAAACCCTAACCCGCCGGTCTGTCCGTTTCACCAAAGCAGTTCCCTTCCCTCCCTCCCCATCGGTTCACAATCGACTCGACCTCAACTGAATTAACTCCCTCGACTCGGCACACTCCCTTTTCTCTATCACGGAAAGAAACCAGTAAGTTCTTCTTATATAACCTTCTGTTGTCCAGTTCCTTATATATCCCATTGCTTGTTCTTCCGATTCTTTTCCTGCTCAAAGTTTCGATCTTTACCTCCGCTCAAGGGTTTCCCTTCCTCCCTTTTGCCCTCCACTAGATGGGTTCGAATGCGGAAATTGTTCCAATAACGTCACAGAAGCACGACCCGGCATGGAAGCACTGCCAGATGTTTAAGAATGGGGATAAGGTTCACCTTCAATGCCTGTATTGTAGCAAGGTTTTCAAAGGGGGAGGGATTCATAGGATTAAGGAGCATTTAGCTGGTCAAAAGGGCAATGCTTCCACCTGCCTGAGAGTCCCAGCTGAGGTGAAGACTGCAATGCAGCAGAGCTTAGATGGTGTGGTGGTTAAGAAGAAGAAGAAGAAGCAAAAGATTGAGGAAGAGATCGCGAGTGTTAACCGTGTTGATTCTGTTCCTGAGGGTTTTGCTGGTAACTGTCAAAGTGGTGATGATGAGTTTGTTCACTTCTCAAATGTCAATGAGACTAGTTCTAGTGCATTGGTTGGTGGTACATTGGGCAACGAAGGAGGAGGGAAGAAAAGGAGGATTTCGGGGTCTATTATGATTCCTATTGCTACTGCTGGAGTTGATGATTGTACGACATTAGTTGAGAAGAGGGTGGGTGGTGGGGATGGGGTTCAAATTGCAATAGCAAGGTTTCTGTATGATATTGGGGCACCCTTGAGTGCTGTGAACTCTGATCACTTTCAGCCAATGGTAGATGCAATCGCATCGGGAGGACCTAATGTTGTGCCGCCTTCTTACCATGATGTTAGAGGGTGGATACTGAAGGGCTCAGTTGAAGTGAAGAGTGATGTCAACAAGCAGATGGAAACATTGGAAAGGACTGGCTGTTCTGTTTTAGTTGACCAGCGGAACACATCAGATGGTAGGACTCTGTTGAGCTTCCTGGTTTCTTGTCCCGAGAGGGTGGTGTTTGTTAAATCGGTTGATGCATCTGATACTGTGAATTCGCCGGATCGTCTGTATGAGTTGCTTAGGCAAGTGGTGGAAGAAGTTGGTGTACAGCACATTCTCCAAGTAATAACTGGCGTGGAAGATCGATATGTTATTGCTGGGAAGAAGTTATCAGAGACTTTCCCCACGCTGTATTGGTCACCGTGTGCTGCCCATTGTATAGATTTGATACTGAATGACTTTGGTAAGCTGGAATGGATAAATGGCATTATTGAGAAAGCTAGGTCTATTACAAGATTTGTATACAATCATACGGCGGTTGTGAATATGTTGAGAAGGTATACCTTTGGAATTGATATTCTGCAACGAGGATTGACCCGTTCTGCAACAAATTTTGTTACGCTGAAGCAAATGGTTGATCTGAAGGACACTTTGCAAGGCATGGTTACTTCATATGAGTGGATTGATTGCCCCTTTTCTAAGCAACCTGGGGGCTTAGAAATGCTGGATCTTGTTAGTGATCAATCTTTTTGGTCTTCCTGCACCCGGATAGTCCGTCTAACACAACCCTTGTTAAGAGTTTTGAGAATAATTTGTGATAGGAAGCGGCCTCCTATGGGGTACGTCTATGCAGGGATGTACCGTGTGAAGGAAGAAATCAAGAAAGAGTTCTTGAAGAGGGAAGACTATGTGGTATACTGGAACATTATAGATCAATGGTGGGAAGGCAAATGGAATGTGCCTCTTCGTGCAGCAGGATTTTATCTCAATCCGAAGTTCTTCTATAGCATTAAAGGAAACATTCATGGCGATATTCAGTCTGGGTTGTTTGATTGTATAGAGAGATTAGTTCCCGAAGTAGATGTGCAAGCTCATATAATCACAGAGAGAAACTCTTACAAAAATGCATCATCGGATTTTGGAAGGAGGGTAGCAGTCAGAACCAGAGAAACGATGCTTCCCGGTAAGGTTCCTTTGATTGTAAACCTAGTGCTTTTCAAGCATATGCATCTAGCTTTGAAATGTGATGTAGATGAATATGTGATTAGTCTAAACTTTGTGCACAATATAGATGAATGGTGGGCAACCTACGGAGGAAGCTGCCCAAATTTGACAAGATTGGCTATCCGCATACTAAACCAGGCTTGCAGTTCAATCGGATATAAACAAGATGATATTCCAATCGAGCGAGTGCATGACACCAAAAATGGCCTGGAACATCAACGACTCAGTGATCTTGTCTTTTATCAGTACAACTCACGACTTAGAGACATGTAAGTGTTATCTGATCACCTTCAGAAACTACTTTCTAGAGATGGCTAAATGAGACATAGATGAAGGAAAGTCCAGGTTTTTTTTTGTCTGACAAAGTATTGCCAACATTACAGAATGACCAAGAAAGAAGAACAGGATACCCTTGATCCTCTATCATACGAAAACGTTAGGTTTCTGGAGGACTGGGTGAATTCCAAAGACGTATTTATCGAGGAGAGTATGAAATCCGATTGGGCAGCCATAGATCCTCCTCATGGTAACAAGTCGATGTTAGGAGGCCATTCTGAAGATTATATAAACGAGTTGGAGACAGGTAATATTCTCATATGATGTCTCAATATTACTGAAGATGTTCTACTCCTAGCGACATCGTTACTGCAAAGGATTTCGTTGTAACTAATCCAATGCTTTCTATCACTCATGCAGTGTTTGATGATGCTGAGATTTTTAGTGGAGCCAAAGAAGGTATGGAGGAAACCATTGAAGAGAATGTAGCAAGGTAGTTAAACTTAGAAAAGCTTGGAATTATTGGATGTCCCCTTGGGTTCTCTTCCACCTTTTTACTAGGATCGAATCACCCAAGGTGGCGAAGTTCGATTTTGTCCTGAAAAGTGTATATGTAGTTAGTTAGCCACGTTGTGAAGATCCCACCCCATCTTGGGAGCAGTAGAAGAAGAGTAGATTCCAGCTTTTGGATATTGAACAGAATTATCCATTGGACACAACTTGAGAGAGGAGAAGAAAAGCAAGGGCAGGGGCAGGTTCCCGGCCATGGCTAACATAGTTGGGTTGGAACTTGGAAGTTTTCTGAACTTCCTGAAAACAGGGGATGCTCTGTTTTTTCTCTCTCTCTCTCTCTCTCTCTCTCTCTCTCTTTTCCCCCACGGGACTATTTAAAGATTACTATATTTCTGGCTGGCTTAAGCTTAAGGTTCCGAAACAGGGGATGCTCTGCTGATACTTTTCATTCCCAAAAAAATTCCTCAATGTCATAGCCGTCTTCACTTTCGTCAACCTTGATAAAACAGCCGACTCTACCTCCATCTCTCGAATTCGAATGCCATCATCAACCAAGTTTGTAATAAATCAATTCATTTACCACAGGGGACGATTCCTGCAGCAAACTCTCGAGCCATGATGACGAAGGACGAGCTCGAGACCATCACTCCTGTCTAGATCTTGATCAGCAAGTATATATGGTGATCTTTAAGACTCTTTAGAGGAGGTAGATGATGGGCAAAACAATACATTATTCCCAAGACGAAAGAAAGGGAAACCATTGAAGACAGAGAGACCATCAACAACATTAATATTTGTTTTCTCGAACATCGTCAAATAAAAAAACACCCGTCCATATTGCAATGGTCCGGTCCGTACCGGACCACACCGGACCAAACCGTTGTTAAGACCGGACCGGACCAGACCGAGTAAAATACGGTCCGGTCCTTGGTCCTAATGAATTTTATAATTACTGAAGAAATGGTGGACCGAGCTCATATTTGGACCGGACCGAACCGGACCAAATGGACCGAATGCAAGAATGGTCCGGTCCTTGGTCCTAACATGTCTTTCACTAATGGACCGCGGTTCTCATGAGTTTGGTCCGGTCCGGACCGAACCGAACCGTTGCACACCCCTAGTCCATATTAAGGGATATTGCACAACCCTTGATTCTCTGCAAATCCACTCAGCAAACCAGAAGAAAGACCCTAGAAATTCACAAATTTAGAACTGGTAAAGGCAGCTTCCATCATCACTCCTTGCAGTTGGATCAAAGTTACCCGCATTTGGATCAGTACAGCCTTCAGGAACTGGCAGATTGCCCTGTTGAGCTCCTTGCCCTGCCAAAACAAACAAACAAAAACCCCAACACAAAACAACTCCTTAAGTTGAAATTCATGCAAGTAACTAAAAAACTAACATTGCCGCGCGTTCGAATTTTACGGCCAATAATCACAAACAACAATATACTAATAGGAAACCTAAGAAGAGGGAATGCAAACCTCCCAATTGAAGGCCCCCTCCCTCTACATTTTTTTCAGGATGTCGAAGAATCTAACCGTAGAAAGTTCCACTCTCCATGGCATCCTTGTTAGCATCACCAAGAGCAGCCTCGTTCAAGTACTGGTCAGCCAACTGCACCCTCTTCACATTCTCTTGCTCTGCCACAAGCATGTTCCCATACTCCATCAGCTTCTGCAATGTCATCTTCGGTTGCTCGAACGTCGGGGGAGGGTCCTTGGAGTTCACCAGCTTCTTCCCGATCGTCTCCACTCCGACACTGGAGATCCACTTCCTCACCTCGTCGTCGTAAACCCTAGCCCTCAGCGCCCCGAAGAAATCTACCCACCCCAATGTCAGATAACCAGTCAGAAAAACCAAGAAAACTTGCGTCTCAAGTAAAGTCTAAACCAATATGGTGGGTCAAATAATGTACCGATGGATTGTCCGGGGAAGGAGTCGACGAGCTTGACGATGTCGTCCTTGGGGACATTGTCCGTCCTGAAGATACCGGTGCATACTCCGATTCGGTCCTCCCTGGTCGGAGCCCAGTAGAATTTCTCCATACGCCCGTCACGGATAAGAGGGGCGTAGAGGGTGGAGAAATCGTTTCCGGTGACGATGATCGGAACCCGGGCGTTCTCTTCCTTGTTGTACATTCCGGGGAGCTGGACGTTGGTGGGCGCGTCGGCGATGTTCATGAGGGTGGCGTTCACCATCTGGTTGTTGCGGTGTACTGCGTCGTCCCGCCCATACGACCGGCGCCGGCGTCGAGATCGTTGATGAAGAGGCAGCACCTTTTGCCCTTCTTGATGATGTCAGCAGCCTCACGGTACCTCTGCCTGATCAGCTTCGCCGGCTCTCCGGCGTTGCCGCTTTCCAGCTCTCCGGCGCTCATCATGATTGGGCTGTCATTGCAGAAAATTCTGACATTAGCTTCACATTTGAGACATTTCACTATATATGCTGTAATGGTGTGGAATTGAAGGGGCTCACTTGATTCCCATCTTGGCGAAGACGAGCTCCGCTTGGAAGGATTTTCCTTGACCTTTGCCTCCCCATACACCCAAGATCAAGGGAACCTGTAACCAAAGGGGGAAAAAAATCACAGGTGAAATCTTGATCAAATGAGTACTCGAACCCAATAATCGATCGAAGGGTTTTGGAATGTAGTAATTAACAATCGAGTTACCTTAATGTTAGGGAGGTTCAAGAAGTTCTTGGTGATGTGAACGACGATTTTGTCCATGAAAGCAGGAGCAATGTAGAAACCACCCATGGTGTTGTCAAAATCGTATCTGCCCACACATAACACAACCAACTATCGGTTGAAATGCCCAAATTGTGAATCCGAACGATCACGGTTAAACTAACTTCTCAGCTCAGTAGTCACACCATCATCAAGTGATTCAACTGTCAAGAATCTATCAGTCCGTTTGTCAAGAATCAATTGGCCCCAATAACTCAAGCAGTTGGAAGAGATTCAATCATAGATTCTTATATCATAATTCATAACTAACAATGGCTTCATTCGATGATATCCCCAATCTCGGTCTTTTTTCGTGCATAAGACCTAAAACGACGCTACCAAGACCCATATTTTCATACAGAAGGCATACTGATACCAAATTTGACAACATTTTTTACAAAATTCGAACCTTAAACCTACAGGTTTAGACAATTAGCATAAACACCAACTCTACCTAGATTAGCCATGAACAAAACGGAAAACAGAGCAAAAAAAGGCAGAGCAAGTAAAAGTAAGAAGATTTACGTACGTTCGAAGGCCTTTGCTGATGTAGTCATAGGAGCTCATGACGGCGTAGTGAGTTCCGGCCATCTGCGGCGCCTGGAACAAACTGTCGACCATACCTTTCCCTCTGCTGATGTCCTGCTGGTCGTCGGACATGTCGGTCACCAGGTGTCCCCATCGGTCCCCTTCCGTCTGCTTCTCCTCGTCCACGTCTTCAGGGGCGGCCTCCGCGACAACCTTGAACCCGGACTTGGGGAACAACCGCACTCCTCCCCCCCAATTTCTTCAAGCTCGTCCCCAAGAACACCGAGGTCGGCACCGATGGACCGGCTCCCGACCCGTTCAGAGCCAACTGCAAGCAAATCAAATCAACCACCACCCACTTCGTCAATTAGACGAATGCTACTACTTGCTTTGCAAATTCCGACCCGTATTAAAGATGTAAAGCAAATGGGTAGGGAAGGGGATGTGATAAAAGGGATTTACCGGAACCCGGTTGACCGCGGCGATGGTAGAGATGGCGGCGGCGGCGGCCATGAGTTGAAATTGCGCGAATTAGTTGGAGAGTGGGAAGTGAAGAACAAGTGATGAGGGTGGGGAAAGTATGGAGCTTTATAGTGGCAGTATGGGTGATCGGGAAATTGGTTGATTTTCTGAGGATTGGATTAAGGCAGGGGAGATTCTGTTTCGTCCACACGATGAAGATTGGTTAGCTGCCACATGGCGCACCACGACAAGCACCCGGCTTCGGGAAGCGTCTCTCTTTTTGCATTGTTTCTGAGGGGATGTGGATTTTGTGTGCTCTCGTTGCCACAATTAATGAATTCTTTTTGTTTTTGAAAATATTTGCCACACAATGGATAATTGGTGGTCGTTATTTTTGGTTTGGTTTTGGCGCGGAATAAGAACGTAACGATCAGCGAAGCTGTGTTGGTAGGGGGTTGGGCCATTTTGGATCCATGCGGAGAAAGCGAGCTTCAGGAAGTGATTGCAGGCCAGGTGAACTGTGTTGGTAGGGTTTGGGCCATTTTGTATCCATGCGGAGAAAGCGAGCTTCATGAAGTGGTTGCAGGCCCAAGCCCAACATTATCGAAAATGGTCAAGCTTTCGTATCTTCTTGATTGGTGAACTGAACAACAGTTTTTATTTTCTGGAAATGGTGGAAATAGAACATGCAAAGGTCTCAACTTCAAGACCAAGTCCTTTAAAGCTTTAAAGCTCAATACTGTGCATTATTAACCATTGGGCTAATACCATTACAACACCCGAACTATCCGAAAAATGTCACTTGTGTCCTATTGTATCAAATATTCCATCTGTGTCCTGAACTATTACTCTGTTAGTGTTGACCAGAGTTGACCGTTAAAAATTTAACAGATTATCTAATCAGCGTTGATGTGGAAAATGACATAGAATTTTTAATTCCATTTTATTGAAGAAAATAATTAAAATAAAAAAATGAGAAAAAATTGAGAAGATAAGAATCAAATTTTGTCTTTCCTTTCTATCCCTCTACGCCCGACAACTCTTCAGAGCGACCTCGACGCCTGACGATTCTTTTAGAGAAACCTCACCGCCCGTCAATTGCCGTCATAACTCTCTGCTCCATGGCAGTTTGCATCACCGTAGCCTCTGCTTTTCAGCTGGAAATCACTTCATTGGAAGATTCTTTGAAGGGATCGAGAGATTGAGCATCGTAGATCTAGATTCTCGAGCAGACCCGACAACCCAATCCGCCACCACCATACTCATCCCACTCCGCCGCCACTCGAATCGGACCCGCCAACCCACTCCGCCACCACTCCAATCCGACTCGCAACTGCAACCTCCAGCAAAATCGACCCTCTAGAAACTCTCGGGCCTCCGAGCCGTCCGCTTCTCCAAAAATCGTCGCTGAAATCTCCTTCGCGGCGGCGAGTTTCGTCCTACCGACCCAGGCTGTGAGCTCATGCTCTCTACTTCGCCTATCAGTTCCGCTTTCTCCATACCTGCAATATCAGTTGGCGCATAATCGGGAGACAACAGTAGGGGTAAGGTCGAGTAGTTGGAAACAGCTGGGAGATGGTAGTCGATGGGTTGAGATTTGAGAATCCCAATTTCTAGGGATTGGATTTGTGGGAATGATGGATATTCAGAGGGGGAATCACAAGTCTCGGCTGGAGAATCTCATCGCAGGAGAGAAGAAGTCGGTGAATTTTTCCATGACCGGAGATTAGGGAGGGTGGATTTTTCCATGGTCGGAGAATCTCATCGCAGGAGAGAAGAAGTCGGTGGATTTTTCAATTTTTTATTTTTAAAGTTTTATTTAATTTAAATTAAAAATTTGAGGTGTCAATGACTTGGCATTGCCACGTATGCAAAAGTCAATGTTAAGTTGACCGCCGTTTGGTCAACTGTTATCTTTAACGGTCAACGAAATTGGCAGGATACAAATGGCACAAAATATAATAGTTCATGACATGAATGGAATATTAGAAACAATAGGACAAAAGTGGCATTTTCCGGATAGTTTGGGTGTTGTAGTGGTATTAGCCCTTAACCATTATATGTTCGTTTAAGAATACGTTACCCTCAAAACTCCCTTGATGATAGAAAATAGATGAATTGGATTCCAGGTTACTGTAATCGGGTTGGACAGAAGAGAATTGAAAGATTATGATTAACAGGTTCAAAAAATAGAATTATGGGTTGAAATTTAGGAGAATTTGGAAAGAACAAGAATGTGGAATTAAGAATTTAGAGAAGGAAATTGGGCAGAATTAGGGAAAATGGCCGGCAGGGCAGCTGGCTCAAGATAGGGTGAGTAACCTTAGAGCGAGTAACAATGAGTAACCAAATATGGACCCTTCTTTTAAGTGGCTCCAGATCTAAGAGTGAAGAATTAAAGAAATTTATTTTCCCTAGTTTTATTAATTGGATCATATCTTCTTCATTCTAACTCGGATTTCAATTTTTTTTTTTTTGCAAAGATGGAACGAGTTCGTTGTGCTCTACAAAATGATATCCATTTTCAACAATTAGCGGGCTGAGGGATCTCCGATTTGCTTCCCGAAGACTTGCCAGGTGCTGATTAATCTGTTGAAGAGCGGGGAGAGTGATTTTACAGAGTTGGGTATCTGGTGTGATGAACTGAAGAAGATGGCGTCGGTGAATGAAGCTCTCTCGGGTTGCAAGGTTCGCTGGGTGTTCACGCCAAGGAAGAACAACTATTTGCCTCACTGGTTGGCTCATTCTGGGTCAGGTTGGGACCATCAAGTGGTCTGGGTCGACGATCCCCCTGCGATGTTAAGTTGCTTAATTGAGTCTGAGATGGGACGTGGGCCCACTGAACAGAACTGAATTTTTAATTTATCCTGCCAGATTTCCTATAAAAAAACAAAATGATATCCATTTTCAATATTTTTTGAGAAACTTTTTTTCATCCCTCTCGTTACCAACTCCATACCATATGGTATCTCCTTCGTTGTTTAGTCATTTTCGGAAATTTTTGCACAAAAGGAACGATTTAATCATAGATCTATTGGATTTCAAAATTTTCTGGGGGGAAAAAAATTCATACCTCTCGTTACCTACTCCATACCATACTATACCACTCTGGTATGACGTGGTATTTTTCATACCATATGGTATGCTGTTATTTAATACCAGTCAATACTATATGGTATTGACTGGTAATAACTGGCAAATTTTTTTGTTCCAAAAAAATCAAAGTGCATATCATTTTGAATCGTTACCAACTCCATACCATACTATACCACCCTGGTATGAGGTGGTATTTTTCATACCATATGGTATGCTGTTATTTAATACCAGTCAATACCATATGGTATTGTCTGGTAATAAATTGCAAAATTTTTTTGTTCCAAAAAATATCAAAGTGGATATCATTTTGAAGAGTACAATTAATCTGATCTAACTGTGCAAGAAAAAAAAATTAAATTCCGAGTTAAAATGAGTGAGAAATCGTCCGTTAAAGATTAAGGGAAAAAAATTAATGATTTTTCCAGGAGAGAGAAGGAGGCGCTGATGTGGCAGATTCTTATTGGGTTATGCATGAGGTTACTCACCACAAGGTTACTCACCGGATCTGCTCCCGGGGAGCTTGAGAGACAGAAGGAAGGGATTTGAAGGAAAGAGAAATTACAATTTGAGATAATTATTTCCATTATTCAACTTAATGATCGTAGAATGTAAGCATTCATATTCAACTCTGATCACTCGAATTACTTTTTATTTTTTATGAATGTCACTCGAATTACTGAAACATGTTACATTTAGTTGGACGGAAACTAACAGGAGAGTGACTAAATGTAACATGTTTCACTAATTTGAGTGACCAAAATTAATATCAATTTTTTCTAATGACTAGACATGAGATGATTTAGTAACCTTAGTGACCGAATGTGTCATTTACTTTTTTTCATTTACAAACCTAAGCTAGCTCAACCTCTCAGATTTATTGAGCTTATGTCGAGACAGATCCACCAGTTTGCCATCACACCTTAGCTCGCCTTGTTCAATGGTTGTGACCAAAAACTTCCAAATGTTAGCCATATACAGGGGTAGGATACTATGCTAACCCCTAAAGGGGTAGTGATTTTTGACACCCCCTTTATGATTGGCCAATTTTATTTCCAATCATTGGCAAGTATTAATTAAACTGGTTTTTTATTTTTTTTTAATCTTGTAATTTGGGGTCTCTCACCACATTGGAAAAGAGAAAGAATCTGGGGAAAAACGAAATCACCCCCATTAATTACATAATTAATTTCTCTCACTGGTACATTAATTACACGTACCACTCCACTGGTACATGTACCACTCCACTGGTACACGTACCACTCCACTGGTACACGTACCACTCCACTGGTACACGTACCACTCCACTGGTGCGAGCAATCCACAAGGTAGGTTAGAGTGAGAACAATACCAGTGCAATGATATTTTTCATAACAATGATAAACAATAACGGAGCAACAATGCAGTACCACTTCAATGATACAAATACCACTCCACTGGTACACGTACCACTCCACTGGTACACGTACCAGTGGTACGTGTACCAGTGGAGTGGTACGTGTACCAGTAGAGTGGTACGCGTAATTAATGTACCAGTGAGAGAAATTAATTATGTAATTAATGGGGGTGATTTCGTTTTTCCCCAGATTCTTTCTCTTTTCCAATGTGGTGAGAGATCCCAAATTACAAGATTAAAAAAAATAAAAAACCAGTTTAATTAATACTTGCCAATGATTGGAAATAAAATTGGCCAATCATAAAGGGGGTGTCAAAAATCACTACCCCTTTAGGGGTAGTCAAGCTAACCGATCCCCCATATACACGAAAGAGCGCAACAAACTAAAGGAAAGAATAAAAAGAGAACAAAGGATTAGGATTACTGATGTTAATCGTGGTGATGACAGCTCAAGCATGCTGAACAGGGAACTGGAAAATTGCTTACCTGGTTCGACGAGGATAGACTATATGCATGCAAAGTAATCATAGGCAAGGTAGCAGTAGGATGGCAGAGCTGGCAAGCAACCATAGCACCTACAAACAGAACTTGGAACAGAAGAACATACAGA